AGACACACCAAGCACACTCCTAAGCGTGCTGTTTACTTTGCATGGCATAAATATTCTTTGCCAAGTTTGTTTGTCTGGCTCTTTCCGTTGTCTGCCACAGGAGAATTTCTGCACCGGTACATCTGCAACGCCCACCGTGCCATCGCCACCTGTCTCTGCCCTGCGTGGTTTATCATCTTTGCAGCAGCAACGACTACCTCAATAGCGTCACCGAGTGTGTCCTCGTCTAACCAGACCCCGAGCACCACTCGTTGTAGCCCCAGCACCTGTGGTGCAGTAAATATTTTTAAATAAACAACTACAAAATAAATTTCCTCAGGATTGGGCAATAAAACTGTTACAAACCCACTTCTGGGCCATTACTTGTGTTGTCTACTAAGGTTTGTTGAGATCATATCAATAAAAATAATATATCTCGGTCATAAGAGGAAAACACAGTTTCTTTTCTTCCCCCCTGAACTGTCATGATAATTGACCACAAAAGGAGTGGGGGAAACTTTAAAAGATTTACTCGGATAATGAGATAACCCAGCTTTTTGCTCACCCTTTCATATAACGCTGGGCGTTTCTAACCGTCCCCTCTTCCTTTTTATACTGATTTTCATACATGCCATGGTTAACGTTAACGTTTAAGTTTGGTGTGCTTTTCCCTGATTATTCTGTAACTGAGATCTACACATCTGTCAAAATGCGACACGCCGTTTATTAACTATTTTCCTAAAGTTCTTCAGTAAGAACAAAAGTGGAGAAAGAACATTAAACTTAAAAAATAACTAGAATAAATGTCTTTTAAAAATGTGTTCTCTATAGCAAAGCTACCACTATTTCCATAGTACCTTTTCTAGAGCTCCCTAGTCATTCATTAAACTATTAGCAACTACTAGCAACTACTTGCAAAGGAAAATAAAAATCTCAAGACCACCCCCCAACTCCTTATGCAAAAGGGAAGGCCGAGCCCAGAGGCCGAGTCACACAACATGCACTTTCCACGTGAGCAGCTGTAACTAACGCTCCACAGCCAGGTCCCACGGAAGGTCACGGGCTGCAGGCGCCTACAAGGGCCGCCCCGCAGATCATCATAAGGAAATTCCTTGCCGGCCTCCCATAAGCAAGGACATGCCAATCATAGCTTTGGGTCTGCAGACCAAGTGTAGCTCCTAAAACTAAAGTCTGTTAAATTTCACACTAATAACATTGATTGCAGGTTTATCTTCCCAGGTGCAGGACAGAGACGGGACAAGATCCATCCTTCTTCCGCCTACCCAGGGACATCTGCACAATTGATTCTTCCTTCACTGCCTTTTTCTCTTCCAACGTTCACGTTACCCTGTGTAAAATGCAGGCTTCCTGGGCCTCACAAGAATGTAACCCTCTTGCCTCACTGCCCACCCCTCCTTCTTTCTCTTTCTGTATCCTCTCTCCTTAAATACTAAAGTTCCCAAATCCCCCCCGGAAAAACAGCCACAGTTGCAGATGCATCTGTGGTTTGTGTTTTTCCCGGGTGTGTCTTCAAAGTTTGGCTTAATAAACCTCCATTGACTGAGACCCCGCATCGGTCACTGATTTGGGGTTGCTGTGCTATTTAACAGGTACCCTAATCTATGCTGGTGAAAACACATGTGTCTCTCACCCCACAATCATGTAGAAAATTCTGTCACTGGTTATTAACCTTTTAAATAAATAAATAGTTATTAGTTAAGAAAAAAGCTAAGCAAAGTTTTAATGATACATTTTAGTTTTTTCCAGTTAACAGAGTTACCCTTTAACTACGGTGTCAGATTTTTTTCAACATTTAGCTGTTGAAAAAAATCTTATTAAGATTAAAAGATGCTACGTAGAGTAGCAGAATCAGTCTCAATCTCTCTGTCTCTCTCTCTCACAGACACACAAGTATAATGTATGTCACACAAAATTTAATACACATATTTTTTTAAAGTTGCTGTCTAAAATATTACTGAAGATCCAAATTATATAAACCCTTTTTGTGAATTTATCCAGACCATCTCCCTGCACCTTCATAGGATACACTAAACAAAACATAACGAGTGTCCGGTTTCAGAGTTCCGTTAAAATTCCTCTTGTCCACTGTCAGTGACGGAAGGGAGAACATTTAGCATTGACACATCTAGAAACTCTGCCGAGATACGCGGCGGGCCCCGAGGAAGCAAAGTATTCTCGCTCTTATCTCAGTCACTGCAGCAGAGAAAGATCAGACTAAAACTCTCTTATAAACATCCTCCCAACCCACGCGAGAATGTCTGTAGCCAAAATTACATGAACAACTGACAAAATCTCCTAGATGTTATAAATGAAATAGCAAGGGTTGTGCCAAGATCAGCACAGGTACATTTTATTACAGAAACACCCTCCTCAATTAAAGGAGATGGGGCTATGCAGTCACATTATGGGTTGTTCAAATAAAAATACGTAATTACACAAGGAAAAAAGAAAAGAGGTTAGTTATAGATTCACTTTTAATGAAAATTCGGCTGGAGAGAGTCACAGCTACAATTTTTAGACTGAAAAGGTTTACCTACCCTAATAAATCCTTTCCTGAAGAGAATTTCGACTAACTGTTTTTCTTTGAAGCTCATAGAGCTGTGATGGTATCCGATACCCCTTCTGGCCAACGCTTTCAGTTCTCTGCCTTTCCTTTCGAAGTTTACTCGGCCAAACACCACCTGTAAAGTCTAAAAGAAGCAAGAGGTTTAGAGATTGTGATATTTCTTATCTAATTTTAATGCAAATCATATCAAAAATCTTTAAATGCAAATAACACGTGTACTAGGTAATAATTTGGCCAAATGAGGCAACGGTTGGAAATCGATTCTGCATGAAGACAACACCTTACGGCAGCAGCAGCAACTCCGAGACAAACCTTCCCTGGGGGGTGCGAGGAGGGGCCTCTTAGGGGCTCTGCCCAGAGAGAGACCTCCCCAGGAAGGCAGAGCGCGTTCCTGACCCATATGGTCGGGGAACGCATACTTTCTACAATAAATCGGTCACAAATGGCCTTAAACATATCTACGTCCTGAAGAGGTGAGCCAGTTGTGTCCAGAGTTAGATTGACAACACTAAAAGCTGCTCATGAGAAGCGGAAAAAGGAAAGCACAGAAGCCTCAGTTCCCAAAAGCAAAAGGCTGATTACTGGTTCCCTCGACGGGATAGCCCTTCGCGCAGTGGAACGTCAAGGCTCCAGTAAGACAACGATGTATTAACAAACCCACGGTTGTGAAAAAGGAAGAGCCCGTGAAGTTCACAAAAGAAGCTATACGATAGAATGAAGACACACATATACACAAAAAATGTGTGTGTCTGTGTGTGTGTGTGTGTGTGTGTGTTGTCACAGATAAAAGAGATCAAAGGTTCATCTGGAAGGACAGTAATTACTTCTGAGTGACGACATTGCTTTTATCGTTACTCATTTGTTCAAATTTGTCTACCATAGGCATAAACAATTTGCATAAGAAGGTTTCGAAGAAGAAATGGTATACCACTGTTAGATATTCCAGTGCTTCTTGGATGGCATGTTTTAGCTACAATATAGAACGCCTCTGATTTTGAGAAATTCTGTGAATATTATTTAAAGCGTATTGGACCACATCTACCCAAATTTTCAAACGAGGCGTATGAGATTGGAGTCTAGAATTCAGGCTACAAGAACAACACGATGGAAGGAAATAAGGAAAGGGCAGACATTCTCAGAGGTGAGCTGCTAGCGAGCAAGAAATGCCCCACACGCCCTAAGCCTGTCCTTTCAGGTGTGTGCCGCAGAGCCTCAGATACACGCAGCCAGAGCGTCCCACGTGGAGACTTTTCCCCAGGCAGGGACTGCGCGTTTCATGCGATAGATGATGTGTGTGTCACGTTAAGCACTGTCTACAAGTAAGCGGCCGCGGCCGATGAGTGACACATCCCCTGGAGAACTGTGTCACTCCACGTGCTGACCTCGGCGGCCAGGGCTTTCCGGTCGGCGTACGTGCAGTCCTCGGGGACTTTCAGGTTCTCCTGCAGACTCCTCAGGAGATTATCGTGTTCAGCTTTCTGTACTAGGTCTTGATCCATTTTTTTCGGGGTTTTCTGGCTTTTTTTCCCTTCTCTGTTCACAAAAATAAAATTTTAGTTAATGGATTGTTAAGTCACGAATGAATTAATCACTAAGCCATTGGACCGCCCTGGGAAGCGTGAGACGTCCCCCATCAGGAAAGGAGCGTCAGACGCCCACGGCTGTGTGTCTGGACTCAACCTTCTTCCCCTGACGGCCTTCCTGTCCCGCCTCCGGAACGCGCGCTCCCTCGTGGGAGCCCCACTGCGTGTTTATATTTTCCGCGACGGTCCCTTTCTGTCTTGCAGATCCAGTTCCCCCGGACCGGCCTGCTTCTCGCTAAAGTGAGGATGCTTGCTATCCCTCGGCCGTCGTGCCGCTGGCAGGCAGGCAGGCTCCGTGCCGCGCGTCGCCAATTCCAGCATCCTCCTGGCCTGCAGGGGAGGGTGTCCCGGCTGCCCTCGGCGTGGCTGCGTGCGGCACTGGGCCCGACTCGCTCTCACCGACCGGAGCCTGGCGGAAATGCCCCACCCAGGAGGCTACAGCCTACCCTGGGGTGGGGAAACGGCCCGGCCAGTAACTGAGGGATGCGAGGTATCAGGGTCAGGCCCTCGACTCAAGGGGGGCAGTTCTGTGGAGCCCCAGAGTGTCCGGGAAGCTCAGGCTGAGGCTGTGGCCAGTAGGACCCACGTCCCCGCGTCCCTTCTTCACTCTCCCTTTCCTGCTTCCTCACGTCCCTCCGGGTCCGTCCTAAGCACATCTTTCCATAAACCACCTGCGCAGTTCCCCCTCTCCGTGTGCTGCTGGGGGGTGCGCCCCAGGACTCCCCTCCATGACCCTGCCCAGACGCAGTCCTCAGGCTGGGTCACCTGTCACCTTCAGAGGAGCAGCCGCCTCGCACACCCAGACCGCTGACCCTTCCTGTGATTTCCAGAGTGTCTCAACCGTGCGCCCTGCGAGAAGAGGGGCTCGCCCGTCTCTCCTCAGTGAGTGTTCTCTCCTCCGGCAGCATCACCCTTCGCCCAGGGAGGGAGCCCGACGGCGGGGCCGGGCGCAGCACCTGCCCACGTGTTACTGCCGAGCCACAGGTCTTCAATCAAGGTAACGCACTGCCAAATAAAATGCGTCCTATCCTCCTCCCTTGACAGATACAACTAACTCCCTAACAGCCTGGAATCCGAAAGGGCGAGAGAGCACTGCGGGTGGGCATGGCCCCCGCTGCACTGGGAACGGATGCGACGGTCAGGGCCAGGGTGGCGCCTTCCGGAGCACGGGCCGGGCAGGGCCTCGCCCTCAGCAGAGCGCCGGTTCTGGGGAAGGCATTACAACGGCGTCTTTTTTCATAGCTTGAACTGTTAGTCACGAATCGAGCTGGAAACATGGCCCCCAGGGCCCTGAAGGAAAGTTGCCTACAGCAGCCCCGTTGTACGGAGGCTCACGTCTACACTGTCCGTCTACACTGTCCCTGGGCAGCTCGCCTCCCACACTCCCAGGGAACAGCACACCGGGCAGAGGAAATATAAGCAGGAGGATCAGCAGCAGACTCTAGTTTCCTCTGGAATTGGGGAAACTGAGTCAGAGATGCTCTAGAAGCCGTTTCGACTTGGGAACTTGGGAACTATGGATCATTCACTCGAAAATGCTGACGGAGCAATTTCTACCTGCCAGGCAATGTGCCCAGCACTGGAGACAAAAAGAGGAAAATACGTGGTTCTTATTGTAAATGAGCTTAAAATTTGGGCAAAGGAAATGTATGCAAACAGCAGCAGTCTGTTATAACACTCGATCTGCCACTCACTGTCGAAATGCAGCGAGAACGCAGGAGAAACGGTCACCGTCCTGACCCCAGCTCCCACCCGAATCCACTCAGTTTGCAAACAAGTCCGAGCCATGACTAGAATTCCTTACAGAGCACATTCGTGAGTGTGTTGGGGTGTGTGTGTGTGTGTGTGTGTGTGTGTGTGTGTGTGTGTGTGTCCGTCCCTCCCGCGGGAACTTGCGAAGTAATTTAACCCTTTACTGACCAACTTGTTTAGTGCAATACTTACATTATCTTTTTTTTCTCCATGGATTTTTTAATTTTTCGGAGTTTGCTAGCCATGACATGGGCTTCTTTATCAGCGTTGGGAGGCCTTTCTATCTCCTGCTTTTGCTTCAGGAAACCGTACACGCTTTTCGCTGTGCCTTCTACAGCTCCTAACTTGAATCTGCAAACAAATAAAAAGAATGCTTGACTTGAAAATAACATCATAAATATAATTCAATCATATTTCCATTGACTGCTATCATCCTGACATATGTCTGTTGAGGTTTTAATGTCCATCTTTATAAATTTTATCTCGAACGTGCACACTAGGCGTCCTGGATCAGCAGAGTCCTTATTAACTACCTTACATTAAATGGTGTTTCCCCAACCCAGACGCTACTTCTGCGGCAAGGCAGTAAGAGCTCCTATGCATTTTCCCTATATGAGTAGTCAGTCTATAGGCAAGAAGGAATAATGGGTTTGCTTCATTTATATATAGAAGACAGACATATATCCCCTTCAACTCCCTTCCTAAAAGATAAGAAAAAAATTTTTTTAATTAAAAAAAACTTTTTTTTTTTTTGGCAGGGTGGAAAGAATTGTGGGTTCTCATGCGAGCCTTTTGGAATGTGATTACTTCTTTCTGGAGACCAGACAAGTGCCAGGACTTGCTGGCCTGCACAATCCAGAAATGTCTCCAAGGCCTGGGCTTTACGCTCTCTGAAATGTACACCCAGGAACACGGTGGTCCAGACTTCCTGGCACATTGGGGCTTAACCTCGCGACCTGGTCCAGGCTGTCACCAGACGGCCTCAGCTCTGAGCAATGAACTACACACGGCTAGAGACGTTTATAGACAAACGCCTATGGATCAGATTCTCACATGAAAAGGTAGAATGTTTCTGGGAGGAAATAAAAGCAAACGTTTAGTACGTTTATATCACATGCATTGCCCCATGTCGGGAAGCGAGGCCTTTTTACGGGAGCACTGAGAAACCCAAGGAAGTTTCGCTTCCGCACTATAACTTGTTGGCAAAACGCCGTGGCTGGAAGTAGCCAATAGCTGCTATCACTACGCTAACCATAGCTTACTATAGCGAGTCATAGGTTGGGTCTGTATAATAACGTTTTTAAAATCTAAATTGTGAGGCAAAGGGCTTTGCTCAAGTCTTTACAGAGCTAGCATTAAAAGGAAAGGTGTGTAGCTTGGGAAAAGTAAATAAATTGGCAACGTGAGGATTAAAAGAGCAACAGTGTGACACGGAGAGGAATTTCATACAGTAGACAATAAAATAATAACAGTAACATTTATATTATACTTACGATTGCCAGACACTAACTCTCAGTGGCTTAAATATGCTGACTCATTCAGTACTCACAGCCACCCACAAGGAAGGAACTGTTAACACCCCGATTTTGCAGATGGAAAAAATGGAGACACAGAGAGGTTACATGACCTGCGAGGAGCCCACAGCTGGGACGTGGCGGAGTCTGGCTCCGGCCCGTGATCTCACCTACGACACGCTCTTCTCTGTGTACAGTCACGCACGTTCCCGGGGTCTGGGTCTATATTACTTTTTTAAATGGTGTCATTTTCATCACAGTACTTCATTTTTTAAATATCTACATCACTTGGAAATCATTTTGCCTCGTAAATCTTTCTGATCACCTACATGTTATGTGAACCAAAAGAAATCAGAGGCCGGGTGCGGTGGCTCACGCCTGTAATCCTAGCACTCTGGGAGGCCGAGGCGGGTGGATTGTTTGAGCTCAGGAGTTCAAGACCAGCCTGAGCAAGAGCGAGACCCCGTCTCTACTAAAAATAGAAAGAAATTAATCGGACAACTAAAAATATATAGAAGAAATTAGCCGGGCATGGTGGCGCATGCCTGTAGTCCCAGCTACTCGGGAGGCTGAGGCAGGAGGATCGCTTGAGCCCAGGAGTTTGAGGTTGCTGTGAGCTAGGATGACGCCATGGCACTCTAGCCCGGGCAACACAGTGAGACTCTGTCTCAAAAAAAAAAAGAAATCAGAGAAGAAATATTTGCCGATGTGTTGAATTTATTCGGGAATCAGAAATGAGGATTAGAACCTGAGATGCCAGCCTTGGCCACTCACACGTGCATCTGAGGGTCGAGGGTGAAGAGAAGGTTTTACTGGCAAAAGGAGAAGTTCATGAGACCTGCTCGGAAACACAGCTCGTTGCTTTTGGAGACTCGGAGCCGGAGCTGGCGTCAGTCCATTGGTGGAGACGCCGTTACTGGGCAGGGGAGCATCTTACCTGAACTGCTGTGGTCCTAAAGAAAGAGTTTCTTGGGGGTTATTTCAGAACGTCCCTGACCCAGTCTTTGGCTCCAGCATGAGCTCCCCTGGCTCTGGTGTGTTTGGGTCTGGCACAAAGGGATTTCACCCTGGTGTTGGCAACTTTTACAACAACAAATGTGATCTAGAGATTGGACCTTAGCCAATAATATTTTGTGGTACTGGACTAAGTACTTTCACAGCTTACTTTTATTTAATTCTCACCCTAACTCTGTGTATTATTATTTCGATCATCTCATTTTGTATATGAGGAAACTAAGGCTCAAAGTCATCGAGTGGCTGTCCAGAAGTGACACAGCTAACAGGGGGCAGAGGTGGGACCCAGGCTGGGACCTGGCCGTGAAGTGGTGCCCCGATGCACACACTGGTATTTCTCAAACAAATAAACAAATAAAAGAACACTCAGCACGCTCCCTGCGTTTTTTTTTCTACAGACCAGACTGTAGAAGGTTGACGGATATACTACTATTTGAAAAGCTCCTAGAGGTACAACGTGGGCCCAGATAAATCCTCGCATCTCTAGATGATCTGGGGCTACTTAGGACGAAATCGAACTGCATAAGACCACAAATATTCGGTTTGTTTTGTAAAGTATTCAAGATTCCACAGAAACGTGCCAAGATTCAGCTTCTCAAACAGAATTCAATCTCTAGTGTTTTTGTGAAATACTTTACTTCTTACATATCTTAAGCATGTGAAGGAGTTCAGAACATGCTACCCCAAAACAAAGCACTCTGGTGTATTAGCTCTTTGAGTGAAAGGCACTTGAAAAGCAGCAGGTGCATAAAGATCATTCCAACCTTCTTTTTTTTTTTCCTAAAAAGTAGCAGATTAAACGCCCAGGTAAAAGATGTTCTCCTTATACCAGAAGGAGAGTAACACTCTCACATCAAGGACAGGAAGTGAGGCCAAATGAAATCTACACAAATAAACCTTATTAAACTAACCCTTGGGCCGGGCGCGGTGGCTCACGCCTGTAATCCCAGCACTGGGAGGCTGAGGCAGGAGGATTGCTTGAGTTCAAGAGTTTGAGACCAGCCTGAGCAAAAGCGAAATCCTGTCTCTACTAAAAATAGAAAATAATTAGCTGGGCAACTAAAAATAGCAAAAAAAAAAAAAAATTAGCCGGGCATGGTGGCACACGCCTGTAGTCCCAGCTACTCGGGAGGCTGAGGCAGGAGGATCGCTTAAGCCCAGGAGTTTGAGGTTGCCGTGAGCTAGGCCAACACCACAGCACTCTAGCCCAGGTGACAGAGCGAGACTGTCTCAAAAACAAAACGAAACAAACAACAACAAAAAACCTAACCCTTATCTTCCTGATCACTTCCCCACCCCATCAACCCCCCTAGCCCAAGCCCCTTTGCTTTTTCACATTTTCACAATTTATGTTCAACTCTAACTGCATCTTTGGGGAGTCAATTCTTTATGAAGTCTCCCATATCATATAGAACTTACATTAAATAAATTTTTATGTTTTTTTGTTCATCTGTTTTATATCATATTAATGCTCAGGCCCAGCTGAAAAATCCTGAAGAGGAAGAGGTAAAATTTTTTCCCCCTACATACATACGAGTGTTTGGGTAATGAATAGTTATTTTTGGACTTCTGTTAATATTTTGCAGTTAGGTTTTCAGAAGCATCCCAAAGGTATAGGATTGTTTTTGTTTCTAACTAAAATCTACAGCTATGCTTGAAAGTGAAGTAGGTGAGCTCTGTAACTTCTTGGCAGTACAGAATTTATTTTCCTTGTCCCAATAACAAAGACAAAAGGAGTAATTTTATTGCAATCCCCAAAGTTTCAAAACGAAAATTTACATTCATGCACCATTATCATTTTAAATAATTATCACCAATGATAATTCATTACTATATGTCTGTTTACATGTGAACAAATTTCATTAAACTTTACTACCTGAGTAAGACTCTGGATTTATTTATTTAAGCTTCCATGGCTTAAGTGTCATTTGAAATTATCTAAAGTAAACATTCTGTTCTAATCCCAAATTGTTATCAAGGTTAATCCAGGATATAGAGTGTTATACATTAATAAATTATACTTTGGTGTCATTATATTGAAATTGGACTATTTTGTTCAATTTTAAGCTATGTTATACTATAATATATAAAATTTATCAAAATATCAGTGACTCTAGGTCATGGTTCTCATTATAATAAATTATATATGATAAAACACCCTGCCGATAATTAGTCTATCGTAAGGATACTGTAATTTTACATAGGATACTTGTGTGCACATACGTTCAATTTGTTTTGCAAAGGACCTGGGTATGTACTGAAAATTAACAAGACCTAAATAAGAATAATAGCTTACAGTACAGAGAAAACAAAAAATAGCATAGTGAATTAAACAAAGACAGTAATTTGTGATAGCACAAGTAAAACTATTTTATAAGACTTGAACTAGAAACGTATATTTTAAATAAGATATATGCATTTGAATAACAAACGGGCACCAGGAATAGTCATGAGTACTACATAACGACAGTAAAGTTTAATTCTCCTCACTTTAAAAGAACGGGTGTAATACAATTACGAACAAAAACAAATTAAACTAAATAACTTACAAAAAAAACAGTGCCGGTAACTTGTCCATTTCCCTTAGCTTTTCAACGAGAAGTGGAAACATGCTTAACATGTTTTCTGCAGTAAAATCTGATTTAGGGCTAAGATTCCTTAGCACCAGTTTGGCCTGCAGCAGTAAATAAAAAATTATTTGTTTTAAGTTATGCATAAGAAAGAAAGAAATTACTACTCTTGGCTAAAATATTTTCATAGTTGTCTAATATATGTTTCTGTGTTTTTAAAAAAATCCTGTGAAAGTATATTATAAAATTATGCAAAGAAACATAAATCAATACACCAGAGAACAAAAATTTGATAGTAATATACACACACACACATATGCAATTTAACATGCAATTTTTTAAGGCAGCACAATTCAGTCAGGATTGTTCTGCAAATGATGTTGGTTCCATGCATGGAGGGAAGGAGTGACTCAGTTTCTCCCCATGTCACGTAGAAAAAGCGCTTCCAAACACATTCCGGGTTTTTAAATGACAAAATAGCCAGGAGAAAATGTCAGCCCATCATATTATGTTTCTGAACAGGAGGAGGTTAAAGTATAATGGGAAAAAAAAATCAAACGAGGAATGTTTCATGTATGTCACTCCTGAAAAATCTGAAACCTCGATTTGTGACAATAAAAACAAACTTCAAAATACAAAGACCATCAAGTTACTTAGAATAAATAGGCATAACTTACATGACTCCGGGTTAAAGTTTCTACAACTTGAAATAAAAATCATAAGAGAAAAAAATCTCCAGGACAGAAAAAGGAAGAAGAGTAAAAAATTCTTCTAAGCTACTGGTGTGAGCCCAGGCCCTGCACGGCCAGGGCAGCAGCGGGCAGTGACCTCCTATTCTGTCTGCTGCCCACCGCCGAGGAGCCCGCAGCACCCAGCACATGTCTGAGGAGACCCTGAAGATAAAAAAAGACCAGTTTCTTTTCTCTTTTTTTTATTCTATCTCAGAATCTCCAGACTTCATGTTCAACTTAAAATTCTAAAATAAAAATTAAAGATTAAAAACCCAGAGAATGGTATTAATTGAATGATATGTCAAGAAAACAATCAGGAATAGAGTGTTTTGCCAAACACACGAGAAAATTACCTCTTCCACGCTGCCATTTTCAATCCAATTTTTTAATTCTGCCTTTAAGTTCTCTTCATATTTTCTAGCATCCATCTTCTTAATGACTAATTTATTGTTAAAATGAATGAAGTTCTCTGGACACAGTTCCTTGAAAACAAATATCACAAAATTAAAGAAAATCAGGCGAGATAATGTGAAGGAGTTTCTCAATCAGACGCCTCGTCGTCAGCATTCCAAGCTTCTCGAGGATGAAGATGTTGAACGTCTCGTTACCCCGTAGCTTTAGCGCATTAAACTGTGAGGATGAGGAGCTCTTCCTAGGAAAAGACGCAAAGCAAAGCAGAAGATGAAAACAGACAGCAGTTAGGACGTAGAGAAAGGAGGCAAGTGTAAGGAAAAAAAAAAAAACCGGAGGAATATAAATCCAAAGTGTAAGAGGAAACTAAAACACGACAGCATCTCGGAAGTCGAAAGAAGAAGTATTTTCAGGAATAAAACACAATTTAAAACCCATTTGAAAAAATGCAAATGTTAGGGAGAGGCATGAAGGAGAAGGGACAATTTTATTCTGGAAAGGGTCCGCTAATAATTTTAAAAGATCAGATGCAAGTGATTAGAAAGGGTGAGGGTTGGTCTTGCCGAACCCTCCATAGTAGCGTTAATTCCATGACCGTTGCTTACCTGGGCGCGGGGCCAGCTTTTCCGGACTTGCAGCATGGCGTCGTAAAGCTCGATGCTTTCCCGGGGAGAAAGAGCCAGATCGGGAGGGAATCCGTACCTCTCGATCTGTGTTCAAAACAAAATTGAACTTTTTAATATTCTTTTTATTGTATCTTATGTCTTATCCTTTGCTTCACAGTCACTATCAGAAACCCAAAGCTACAGCCACCTGGTCTACGATATTTTTTATAGGAGCCCACTGAATGGACTGAGACAGTGTTTTCCAAAAAAAAAAAAAAGGAAAGTGGAGAATTTTATGTATTATACTAAATAAGATTCTCTCATTGGAAATGTTAAATCTCAAAGAAGTGAACATAGGATGCAGATTTCCCCCAAATAACTTTGCAAAATTTTAGTAAGTTACAAAACTCATATTTGGAAATTCCGGGCTAAAGGAGCCACTCCAACACAACATCATTTTTTTAAAAACAATGGAGATGACGTTTGGTAGAATGGAAAGTGGAGGAGAGTCTGAGTCGGAGTATCTGACTCTGATCCCACCTCGACATGCCGTTCCTCATCCACCACACAGGAAGGAAAATGCAGTATTTGTATTTCCCCCTGACAGACTGCGGTGAGAACAAAGTTAATACAGTGCCATATGTTCTTCAAACTTTTAAAACTACAGGATGTAAAATAATCTCACGGAATCGTCATTTAGCGTCTCTCAGCCAGAATATTGCGTGGTCGGGACTGCGTTGTGCCAAAACACTACATGAACATATTATTTTGTAATGTTGGCATTTTGCCCTCTTATTAATTTGTTACTTGAAACTGGTTACTTATTCCGCCTAACTAAAGCATAAAATAAATCCAACAATCATCATAATTTTAAAATAATAAATTTTCTGTTTTGGTCACTAGAATATTTCTGATTTCTTAACTCTCTTTGCCTTTTACAGAGGACTCAGTTTCCTCATTTCTAAAATGAAGAATAATTCTGCCCGTGCCACAGATTTGTAATGAGAATTACATTCAATAATGTACGTAACAAGCCTAGTAAAATGCCTGGCACACGATTGATGCCTCAGCCGTCAGTGCGATCTGATTAATTATCAATGTATAGGTCTGAATTTTTTTAATCAGTTCAAAAATTCTACGGCTAAAGGCTGGCTATGCAGTCCAGCCGCTCTCCTCTACACAGTGACTGATGAACTGGCAGAACCTGAGCCAGCCTAGGAAGAGAAGGAAGAGAAATAAAAGGTCACAGATTTGTACCACTTTTTATTTACAAGCACAGCGGCATTATGCTATGATGCCATTTCTGTAAGCCACACTGTCCCAAATGCCATAGGTGGTGGTGGGCATCGGTCCGCACTGGGCAGAAAGGGACGGACTAGTTCTTTCGGGGACTTCCTGGGAGGACAGCTCTCCAGGACTCAGCAGCTGCTCCCGTGTGGCACGAGAATTGGCGGCAAAGGCCAGCGACTCTGCTCTTCGCCGGAGACAAGCCACGTGTGGATGACGTGGATGGAGGGTGACCCCTCCCCACTGCGGGATCACGTCCTCCCCGCCCCTGCTCTCCTGACATCACTTTTATGATACAACCATAGAGGAAAGGACCAAGGCGGATGGTTCTTTTCACGTTGCCACAGTTTATTAAGTTTTTCTTGCCACTGAGTTTTTTCATATCAATCTGAAATACACCACCCAAGATCAGGAGTTATTTACTCATTGGAAACTCTATTTGGTTTCTAATCACTGCTACTTTAGGAAATGTCCTGTATAGACACATGCTACACACACAGCTGTCAAAACATATTTAATAACAACCAAGCCTGAGTGTTCATTTTGCATTCCCGCTACAAACGTCTAGAAGTCTTAAAAAGACTCATACAAAGTCGTCTGGGGTCAGAGCACACCGTGACAGCTCTATTGCCTTCCAGGGAGTCCATTAATAGCTGCTAAGAACAGAGCAAAGGCACTCGGACCCAAATGACAACTGCAGCAAGTCCTCCAAACCACTGCACTCATCGCAGCTCAGAGACAACCTGTCTGGAAACATCCTACACAGAATACGTTTTTTAAAAATACACTATTTAAAAATGCTAGGTAATGATGAAAATGTCAGATAATCCCTGAATTTCAGCAAAAAAAAGGGAGGAAGGAAGGAAAGAGAAAAAGAACAAAAGGACTTTTTTATTCTTAAATGTGGGGCATTATTTACATTGAAGGTTTGGGGTGTGAGTTAAGTCACAGGAAGTTTGTCCATATTTCAGTTTTATTTAGAGTTTGGATTGGGCCATTGTCACACAGAAGAGAAAGAAGCTTCCACAATAAAATCCTATTAGAAAATCACTGTCATTCCGATTCATTCAGCTGGTTTTAGAAGACATTGTGTCACAGCCGAAAGGTCATGGAGTGATTCTTGCTCGTTCAGGTATTTGTCCAACGGATTCTTCAGAACGGTGTGATGAGGGGCAAGCTCTGGGGTCGGTCTGGCTGGGGCTGCACCCCAGCCCCACTGTGTGCCCAGGGGTGTGACGTGGAGCTAGTGAAGCTCCCCCGCCTCGCCTGCCTTCATTCATACACCGGGAGTAGCAACAGGGCATCCACCGCAAGGTTGCCGTTATGGTTAACAGAGATGAAAAATGTAAAATTTTCAGAACACCGAGTTAGTGCTTAATCTAGGTTGGCCATTCTTACGTAACGCATACTTAGTAAGTACCTTCTGTATACACAGTAGTTTGTTAGGGACTATAAGGACTCAAAATTTGCCTTCGAGGAGTTATTCTAGTAAGACAAAGAAGACATGCGTGTAAACGACAGAAGCAGCAAGCCGGTCGTGACTGGCGTCACGTTACCAACACAGGCGAGGTGCCCTGGAGGGAAGCAGATCACATCCAGCTAACGAAGTCATGGAAGCCTTCCAAGCGCTTCCGGGTGGGACACCCAGTGGCTGAACGGGAGCGACGTTGGGGCAAGTCACAGAAGGGCTTGGCTGCAAAGCTACGGAGCTATGCACATAGCTCTTCCCAAAGGAAAGCCAGTAAAGACTGGGAAAGATCAGAATTATGGTTTTTAAGGAAAGGTGAGAATTATGTGTAATTATATTTCTCAAATTATATTTACTTTGTGTTCTAAAATGTACATATTTTCTCTCTTTTAATCACCACGGCAATCTTATGATGGATATCCTGCTGTGTTTAACATGACAACAGAATTTAGAATATATTCAATTTCTCAGGTTTGGGAAGGAAGACAGACTCCTGACTAATTATCACTTTGAGAGCCACTGGGAGCTTACGTGGCCATTTGTGGCACCAGGATGAGAGAAGAAGAGAACTGTGCAAGGTCAATTAAGAAATCTCTCCCCACTCACACCCCGATGCCCCAGTGGAAATCCTCTGAAGGCCTCCATGTTATTGGTTCACCACCAGAAATCAGATGTCGCGGCCGCCGCATTAGGGAGAAGTGTCTGTCCCTGATTTTCACAGGAACTGTGGTTGTCCCCATAAAGCTGTAGCTGCCCCGAGAGAAGAGTGAGCATCAGAGGGGTGGATGACAGAAGTGGGTGCCGAGAAGAATAAAATGAGCAAAGATAATATCCAAGAACAAATGAAATTAGAAATCCCAGTTAAAATTTTTAGTGGTTATTAAGCTTCGTGGATTCAGACATCATAGAGGAACCAGTGAAAACTGGGAAGAACATGCTTGTTATTTTTCAGATTAAGGTTAATATGTCAGTTGTAAAGTATCTACTCTGTAATGTTGATAAGCACCAATTAGGTGGCTTTTCAATTATGAGTTATAAAATTAGCCTACATTGCTCAGAATGCGTGTGGCTAGAGTATCACTTACGTGGTCTGCTGTCAGCGCGGCGCACGGGTGGAAATGATCGAAACGGATGCGGCCGTCTGCGACCGCGCACACATGCTTCTCCAGGTCGTTGTACCTCTCTCCATACAGCACTGGCGTGAAGAGCAAGGGTTCCCAGATCAAGGAAAGAGTAAGGACTGAAATCATTCTAAAGTACAAGATAAAATTCACATGACTGTATAAAACATACCAAGTCTAACTTCATAGGATTGCTTTGCTTGCAAGTGGTCTTTGGGAAAATTGGCGTGGCGGCCCTCGCGGCTTTTAGCGGCAACATTCCTTTCCATGATCTTGTCTTCTTCTTTCCAGTACCGTTTTACTGATTGTAGCCACCTTAACAAATAAATTTGCATGTTATTTAGGCAGAATATGGAAGCACTTCCTGTGAAATTAAGTAGTTTAAGTAAAGAAAATTTCATGTGCCTTAAAAATCATACGGTACTAAGGGAACAGGCTCACGAGCCCGGCTACCTGCCTTTGAATCCCAACCTCCCTGCCACGGGCTTTGGCCTTTGGTTGAATAACTGCATTTTTCTGTGCCTAATCGTCCACATTTCAAACTGAACTTATAGTAGTAGTATTGGAAGTACTGCTATTTAATAGCACTAATGGAAATAATAGTAAATCATAAGGGTTGCTGGCCACCGAAAATAAATTAATATATGCAAAGCACTTAGAACAGTACCTGGCACACAGGATATGGTTTTTGCTATATTCTTTGCTATAATTGCTATTAGTAGGCAAAAACCAAGCCCAATGACAAAAATCCTTCAACTAATAAGGATTTTCTATCTTCTTAAATATCCATGCAGAGTGGGACAATGGAACTCAGGGTCTGCGGCAGAGCGTGTCATGATATCACTTTGTTTTTTTATTTCTTGGTGAAGGACAAAGAAAAGAAACATAAATCTACCATTCCTGATGAGCTTTTTTGTAGATACGAGGGAGGGAGAACTTCCTATTTAGTTGCAAATCTGGCTGGAGGAGTCCTCAATTGTCCTTCTAGAAGGTACCTTTGCTCAACACTCGCCAGGAGTTGTGAGAGAGACATAGTTTCTTGAAGATCCAGAGATAAGTTATTAAATTCACTGGAAAGTTATGAAGCTTTTCAGAACCCACATAGAAAGCATGAAACTGAAATATTCGAGACAAACATCTGTCCACGCTGGAACCTAGTGCCTACTCAGTGAGATGCTCGGGGTTACTGATCGTGGCCGAAAGAGCCAAGAAGGGACATCGGATCATGACGAGAAGATGCTCCCAGATTTCTGCTCCAATTTCTCCACCAAGACAATGAACCTATTAAAGAAAAAAGAATTCTCAATTGAAAAGTTGATTTAAAAACAGAGAATGAAAACAAGACGTGGAATCTTGAAATTGTCATATACACTTTCCCGTTACCTTCAAGTGACCACGCCAAGTTCAAATATTGGGAAATCCAACCACAGAAAATCTTGACACCTGGATTTTCTTTAATCCCCATAACTAATCCACCAGAAATTCCTTTTTACTTTACTTTTAAACATTTCTTTCAAGTCGATGCCTTTTCCTCCATGTCTACTGCCACGGCACGTCTCAGTTGCGAGACCACCATATCCTTCCGACCGCTATCCAGCTTCCCCTCCTGTTCCCTAAATTCTTCACCTTGTAGCCAAAATGATATGTCGAAAAGATAAATTAGATCAGGTCATGTCCCTAAATTAGTTTCTCCAATATCTTCCCATTGCACATGAAACAAAATAGAAACTCCTTTACAGGGTGTGTAATGCCGGCACGACGTGACCTGTGCTGTCCTCTGGCGTCAGTACCAGCCCTTCTCCCCTTCGCTGTGCTCCGGACCTAACGTTTTCTTTGTTCCCGGAACGTGCCCTTCCCACCCAAGAGCTTCCACGTATATGCTGTTCACTCTGCTTAAAATACTCTTACCCCCTTTTACTCAGCGTAATGCCACCCCATAAAAAAGACTTTTCTGACCACCCATCCCAGGGTTATCCTCCTGCCACCACATGGTCATTATTACAGCTGCCGCAGCCTGCCCTGTCCCCTCACAGGGTGTCCCAACATGGGCTCTCAGGGCCATTTGTGTGCTCACTTGTTTAACTCCTCTTTCCTGATTAAACTGTAACCTTAGACCCGGACAGTCCCAGGACTGACACGTGCCTGGCACTGAGGAGGCACTGCTTAATTATTTGCTGAATGAATGAATGACTTTTGTCCAAATAAAGCAGACTGAACCAAATTCAGGAAAGATTCTCAAATGTGGTCTTCATTAAATAGATTAAACTATGACACTTGGCAATCAACTGAAAAAGACTCATTATCAGAGCCAGATTTCATATCTATATATATATATATGAATGCATAGGGAGAAATATATATGTTAGAATATATACAGAAATATACATATTCAAATATATATGGAAATATATATTGGCATATATACAGAAATATGTATATTTCCACTGCCCACTTAGGCTCGTCCTGGTCAGATAAAATACCACTCTGCCAAATAGTAACCTTATGCTTTGTACTAACTAGATAGCACTTTTCCTTGATCCTGCCAGAATAGACATTAGCCTTCAAAACTTTTCAGTTTTACTCTGATATAAAATTGGAAAAACGGAGATACCCAAAGTCATATCACTTCAGAGTTTTGAGATAAGATTATAAGTCAAGGTTCTAGATTACATAGACAAAGTTGTCAGATTTTTTTAAAACAGGAATATTCAGGCCCTCATGGTGCAATATATACAGATCAACCAAAAATAAATATAATAAATCAATATCAAGCAAATTAAAAGCACAGCCTGTTTGGTAGCCCCAAGTTTACAACAAGGAAAAGGTTAAGTTAAATATAGGCTTGTTATCTTTTTCCCCTTTAAACTGAAAATTCCTTGGAGCAAAAGAAGATAAAGAAGATATATTTTTGAAATGTTTTAAATCTCTTTTAATAAATATTCTTAATTTACTGCTATGTAACTTTGCTAAGTATCTTCCATGTGTGTTTCTTCCTGCTCCCTCTGCCCAGGGGAACCTGCTCACAAGTCTACTCTCAAAAGGGCTCCCACGCTCTCCGTTTCCGCTGGATTTGGCCAGTGAAGAGCCTGGGCAAGAGGTGAGAGGGAGGAGAAGGAGGTTGAGGTTGAGGTTGATCCTCCCGTCACTGTTACTTTGCACCAGCTTTGCTCTTCAACTGCAGTAGCTACTGCTCACCCTGTGGCCGACTCAACTGGAATGTCCTTTTTTTTTTTTTTATTTGAGACAGAGTCTCACTGTGTTGCCTGGGCTAGAGTGCTGTGGCGTCATCCCAGCTCACAGCAACCTCAAATTCCTGGGCTCAAGTGATCCTACTGCCTCAGCCTCCCTAGTAGCTGGGACTACAGGCATGTGCCACCATGCCCAGCTAATTTTTTTTCTATATATTTTTAGTTGTTCGATTAATTTCTTTCTATTTTTAGTAGAGACGGGGTCTTGCTCTTGCTCAGGCTGGTTTCAAACTCCTGAGCTCAAACAATCCATCTGCCTCTGCCTCCTAGAGTGCTAGGATTACAGGCGTGAGCCATCGCGCCCGGCCTGGAATGTCCTTTTGAGTTTCATCAAATGCCTCCTCACCTGTCCCTTAGGCCCGGGAGTAAGCGACTAGCTCTGGACAACTGCCCCAATCCTCATGGAGTCCCTCACACACACCTTTGAAAAATACCCTGCTTGAATCATAGTATTTCAAGTATAGCATTTGTTTTCTGTCAGGACCATGACCGATAAAATAACGTACACGATTGTCAACGTTGCTAGAGCCAAACATTCTTTGCTTTAGAGGTCAAAGATGGGATTTTGAAATTTCTGTGCAGGGAAACTTATGACATGGCGGTTGAATTCTATTCCCCTGAAACGGCAGTCATCAATGAAACTTCGTCTCCCACATAGAACTCCACAGGGCACACCAGGGTACCCTACTGAGTCACGACAGGAAAAGGCAGCCAAAAAACTGACTGTGATTCGCCGGGTAAACTGTTCAGCAAAAAGGGCTCCCCACTCTGAACTCCATCCAAGGGGCAGACGTACTGAAGCACCGAAGACCTTCATGCCTGCTAGGAAAGGCGCCCAGGAGAGAATGCCAGACTCACCTCATCGAATATAACGTATCTGATCCTCTTCACCCAGTTTTGTCGATGAGGAGCAAGCAGCAGGATTTCAAAGCAGGCAGGGACCGTGACGAGCACCTGAGGGCAAGAACATGGGGTGAGCTGACATCGTGAGCACTTCCTGTGGACAGGCTTTGTTCCGAGAATGTATGAGACAGACTCATGAGTCCTGAATGTGCCTTCTCATAATTAGCACAAAATATCACTTCTGAGAACGAGTTTCATCAAAATCGTATGTACTGGTTTGAACCATACAAAACTGCAATTTTTGCAGACCAAAAATGGTAGAATATGAGATTCAAAGTCGAAATCCTTATTTATGAGCATTTGGAGAAATTCTTCACTGTCACAAGTTTGGTTTTTTAAAACATGGTCTTGATGTAGAGTTTGGGTTGAAAGATGTTTGTTAAAAATCAACAATTAGGAAGGGCAGGGGCAAGGCAGGATTGGGCAGAGGAGAAGCCACCCTGCAGGGCTGGCCTGACCGAGCCTCAGCCCACCCGCCTGGAGTTCCGCAGTGAGGACTGCCTGTCGGGTCGCTCCCCGTCAAGCCGCAACGGCCCGCAGCCTATGCCCTGTCCTAGCTCGGTTACAGAATACGGACTGCGGAGGCAGAACTGGGGGAGCTGACGGCTGGCATGGATCTTAACCACACTCTCTGCATCTGGGCAGCAAGCGCCTCCTCGGAAGGCGATCTGGGTGGCACATCTCCACATCTAACACGTGACATTCTATAATCACCTGTCCCCTTTTGCTTCAGTCTTCACGGTTGACCTGTGAGCTCAAGACGAAGGAAAACCACCTTTGATTTAGTTAGCACCAGTTACACTGTCCACAATACAACATTTTTGAAATCTGAGTATCTCTAACAGATACTTATTGAGAAAAAGTAATTCTGATTAGAAATTACTATTTGCTAATTTTTTATGACTTATAGCGTCCTTCAGATCCTTTTGAAGCCACTTATAAGCCAAGATGATGCAATGAACTGTAGCTAAAATCAGAAATCAAAATGTCAGAGTCCTAAAAGAAAACTGCGTTCTCGTTCTCACTCTTTGGAACGTAACAACATTAGGAAAGGTCTTGTGAAGAGGTTGGCTTTCTAGGCAGAGAGACATACACGTTCTGTTCAACAGTAGTTTGATAACAAGCTGACGGATCAATACAATCAATACCTGACAGTTTAAAGCATCATGGCGGTACTCCCTCGTGAAGACGCCACACAGAGCTGTACCACTTGGCAGGTTTTTGGTAAAACGATTATGAACAGTTGCTGCAACTTGATTGACAAGAGCCTGGTGGACGAGGAAACAGACTCATTAGTCACGCAACAAAGGACAGAGGCGAGATCTCAGGGGACAACAGGAAGTCATGAAAGCGTGTTCTGCTCTGAGTGAAGAACGCTGAACCGCGCCTTCCTTCCAGCCGCCTGCTCCAAACACGCTAGAAGTGCTGTCCTGGAGGCACTGCCTTGGCATGCGAACCTCACTGATGACCCTCAGCCTAAGGTAAAATGGAAAACAAATGTCTTCATCAGAGGGAAAACCAGGAAATGTTGCCCACGCTTCAGGAAAAAAAAGCTGCACACCTGGATGACCGAGCCTTTGGGAGAACTGTGAGTCTGCTGTAGAAAGGTCGGGGAGGTTTGTGTCTCCTATATTTGGTGATTTCCCCCAAACATCTGAAGTTTATAAATATACATGAATGTTATGTTAGCCTCTGAAACTGCAGAAAAAATAAAGTGAGCTAGATGTACCACCTGGTCATGTGCATTGTTTCTAAAGGGGAGGACAGGAATGGAAGAGAATATTGCATTCGCGCGAGCGTCACCTTTGTGGGTGCAACGTAGACAACCACACCGTCGTCACTTTCCCTCAGCACCTTCTCCATGCAGTAGTAGGACGCGTAGGTTTTGCCTGAAGACGTCGGGGCCACAATCACTGCTGACTCATGGTTATCCACGACATCGAGGAGCTCTCGCTGTGGGGGACAGAGTACCCCTTGTGTCAATAATGGGAACAACACGATACAAAAACAAAGGCAGCAGGTTAATGCCCTCCCACTGTGGTTTTCCTGAACCTCAAATGGGGTGATTGGGAGCTGCAGACATACAGAAAGAGTATAGGAAAAGCTGAAGAACTCATGTCATTTTCTCAGAACAGATCATTTTGATGCTTTTGAGCATCTGGAAGGTAAGTTTTATGTGTGAAAAATCGAGAGTGGATCTTAATAAAATATCTTATTATTGGGAAGGCTTTTTTATAATCGTTTGTTATCCAGTAAATGCAGAATGCCTTTGAGAAACTAAGTTCTAAGAAGTAGCCAATATGTACTTTTGTGATGGTAAAAAAAAATGGCTGAGAAGGAGAAATGTCAAAGATTCCTGTTTTACTCCTTACCTTCTACTTTCCAAATAGAAGAATGCCAAACACCTACCTTGGAGGGTAAGTGGGAGCTTCATCCCTCTGGCCTCTGCTTTTATTTAACAAGATGATGACTAGTCAAAGAATGATAAGTCCATATGACGGACAGAAGATGGAAAACACTCAAAACCTCAACCTCCAGACCTTCTCCAACCCAGGTCCGTCCCACGCCTCAGGGTGGAGAGGCTGTCGGAGGAGTTACAATGTGCATGGGGTTGCTGCAGGGCATTTGGCTTTCTCATGTCTTGCACTGAAGTGAGGAATAGGTCCTCCTACTCCAGGAAAGGCGGCATGAATTTCTAAGGCACTCCACCGTCAGCATCAGAAAAGTCAAGGCAGACTCTGACAGGGGCAGCCCGGTAGATAGAAGCTATGAAATTGCACTTTTGTAGGTCACATGTTCAATTTATCAGCAATTCTATGGGGTTCAATGTATGCAGAAATGTATGCATATCTTCCAAACGTTATATCCATCAATACTGATTCTACATACATTTATAGAAGCATGGCTGTTATGGTGAAAGGTGCAGTGCATAAATATCTAAACAATTGTCTCTACAGTAACTACCCAAATTTCTCTGTGCACATTTGCATGTGTTCATATGAAATTCTATTGAACCAGGGAAAACCTGGAGGCTGCTCCGCAATGATATAGCTGGAGGACATAGAACTTTAAAATTATATATATGAATCCATCAGAGAACCCCCGAGGACATGGTAAATGAAAATTTCGCTTTCTTTAAATGGGGAAAAAATAGTCTACATTTGACATTTTCAATAACAATGTATTTTTAAATATAATGACTCAATATTAAGAAGTTCATGCCAAATATAAAACGCACAGCCACAATAATGAGAAACTCCTGAGATCACATTTAATAATAAAATACAATCATTTTTGTTTCATTCATGTCATTACCTGCCACGTGTCAGGAATAAAGTCCTGGACCCTGGGGTCTGGGTCTTTTCTCTCATCTCGGAACAAATAATGGCCCATGTGCTGCAGTTGGAACCGAACTGGCCCAATGCCAACTGAATACTTATTCTTTCTCTTCTCCTTTCTGTCATCTCCTGCGTCCTATATTATTTTAAAAGTCCATTTTGAAAGTTATATTGAAGTATCACATCATCTAAATAATTAAAATATTTATTACTGAGCGTTTTCTATGTGAAAAGCATTTCACCACCTTTTAAATTTCGGGAAGGCTTTAAATCATGGTCTTAACTGTGAATAAATTAGTAGATGTTAAGATTTTCAGACATACATCATGATATTTGTAGCTACAAGCTGATATATTTAAAGACAATTGACACTATAGTTTAGAGAAGTTTTGCTAGAATTAAGCACAGGGTTAGTTTTAAGGGTCTGCAGAGATCATCTGTATTTAGTCTGTTTGTCCAGGCAAGCATTTTTACAAATTTTCTAATTCTAGATTACTTCAACATTAGGCAGTTAGATTACCAAGAACGATAATATTTTCAGTAAAAAAAAAAAATTTAGACGAGATGAGTGTATTTGCAAGACACTTTATGTATACCTAATAACTACCATATTAAAATGTAGCTAACCTGGCAATATTACCTGGGTTGGATATAAAGAATTTGCCAACTCATCAAATCCTAAGTACTTCAGGCATCTGGCTATGAGCTGCCGATCTGCTTCTTGCAAAAGTTCCGGGTATTTTTCCATTAATGAGTGGATCCTTTTCATCATTTGAACAGCTATACTTAAATCTTTTGCGATTTTACCTTGATAAAGAATAAACAATAAAGTTGTTATAAAGCCCATCAAAAATAATAAATTTTGATTATCCAAGATTAATCATCCAGTCTATCAATTTTAATTAAATTCACTATCTTACTTGGTATTAATGGAAATTTGGGAGTAAAAATAGCTAAGTAAAATAAAATCAAAGTTCAACTGTCCACACTTTGTCATATCCATAGATTACTGAGAAGTAGCTATGCCAGTATTGGGAAAAAAGAAAAATCTTGTAGTTCATAATAGAAATAAGATTATTAAAGCTCAAGTTTGTAAAAATTTATGGAAAATAAGAAATCTTTTCTCCACCTATTATTTTCAAATCTCTTCTACTATGTTCAAACAAAAACATCTGTATGACTTCAAATATCTGGTTAAAAACTTAGCAGCACGTATTGGGTCCTACTGTTTACCACGAATAAGTATTTGGAGTAGTCACTGAGATCTTCATCCAGGCCACCCGCTCCAACTGCCACATCCGACTCTGCTCGTCCCTCTCCGTTGCTATAGATTCACACGTATGCTTTTTATCACATTCACTACCACACCAGAAAAAAATTTTTTTCCTTGGAGCCATGGGGTTTTATTACGAAAATAAAATAAAAACTTCAAAAACAAAATGATCCCTTCTAATTCAATGAAAAATGTGTTATTTTTTATTGTTTTCTATGCATGAGTTATATGCAATTTGAAAAATGGTCCTCATGGCTTCCAAGGTGAAGAGGCGTGTGAGTTACATATGCTTCGCGAAGTCCCGGGATCAAAACTAGCGTGAGTTCAATACAACTCACATGACAGTTAATGTGCTATTCTTCCCCTCTGCTGTTCTTTTCTTGCTTACCACACCAGGCCTGTTTCCATTCCATCTCTCTTCTAATCAACCTCTACTGTGTCTATTTAACAAATATTACCAAATATCTACTGAATGCTGTAAGAGGCCACAAAGAAATTTAATACAGAGCTCACGCTCTCCAGGGGCTGCCAGTTCACGTGGACAGACAACGTGTGACACTGTTCCAGCCCCAGCGGAGCAATGCACACAGCAGGTGTTACGTGAGGTGGGCTCCTTGAGGAAGGCTGCGTGGAAAGAAATTTCATGGAATGGATTTGGAGGGCAGGTAGAGTGTAGGTAGATGAGAACAAAGACCGGGATATCTGTGGCAAATACTACTCGCTGTCTACCCAGCCGGTATCTCCCCCTCAGATTTCACGTTTACATCTCCATATTATTGGCAGCTGCAACGTACTCAGGTAAAAACCTACATGTACTGGCACCCTCGTGGCTAGATGTGGCCTTGTGACTAGGTTCTGACCAAGGGCATCTAAGCACAAGTTCCCGAAGGCTACGAGAGCTCCTCGAAGGAGAGAATGAGGCGATTTGCCTTTTCCCTTTCTCACAGTATCTGCTAGGACGTCGTCATCTAGAAACGTGGGCCACTGGAGGAGCAGAAGCCACGTGCCGGGAATAAGGGATCTGAAGACGGAGCAGCGTGGCCACGGCCGACACCGTGGAGCTGCCACGGCAGCCTGCACTGGCTACACGGGAACTGCACGTAAATGAGTGAAACGAACTTCTAAGTTCCTTCAGCCGCTGTGGATCCTGAGCTCTCTCAGTAGCAGCCAACTGCGCGTCCTGCTTCAACGCCTTGTGGGGAGGAGCACACAGGCTGAGACTCAGCCTCTCACCGGGGCGGACGACAGCGAGAGGCCGGCTGCGCAGGGCCGTGAGGGCAGCAGGATGGAAGTGGAGGTGGAGGGAGGACTCGGTAGTCACGTCGCACGGGCTCAATGTGCAGATGCCCAAGACTGACGGGTCAACCAGGTTTGCTCAGAGGAGTGGTCAGTCTGGGGGTATTTATTAGGAAGCGTGATCATTTCACCTGCTGTCAATTTACGCGTCTCCACGCAGCCCTGTTTCCCCCTCATCTTCCTCTTTCTGTCTCCTCTGTTCTTTCTACTAGGTGCTGTGGAAATCGCAAAGCAGGGCACGTGGAATCCACAGCAGCTTTGCAAGAACTCGGCATGCCAGGCAGGCAGGAATGGTTTTACTCAGAAAGGAAATGTTCACTCTTTGATCCCCAAGGTGAACGACAGATTCTTCCTGGGCGCCTCTCCATTTTTGCTGTTTGTCCCTTAGCCAGGCCCACAACTCTGCAAGTGGTTCCTTTTAAACATATACTTGATGGCGCGTGCACGTGCTGTGTATTTGCCACCGGGACCCTCTCGGAGACGCCCGCGCCCACGGATAACACACAGCACCGTCCCCCTAACTGCACTTTCACTGTCTGCCATTTCAGTTCCCCGAGGTCAACTGTGGTCTGAAAATATTAAAAAGGAAATCCCAGAAATAAATAATCCATGAATTGTAAATTCTGCACCATTCTGCGTTGCCTGATGCCATCTGGCAGCATCCCACGCGGGGGACCACGGCTACCCTATGGCTGAGGCGGAACTGCTGCAGCGGTATCAACGCATAGAATAAGATAATGCATGTAAATCGTCTAACACGCATTTCAGTTGACAAATGACAACTGTCACCATTACACTGTATCAGTTCTCCAGTCCACCCAGATAAGAAGACACAAGCACAAACCTTCGCCCCGGCAGTGCTGTTTCCAGGCTCTCAAGCAGGCGCTCAGCCCCACCCTTTCCACTTGGCACTTCACAGAGTTACTTTTGCATGATTGCAAAAACTTTTCCAGGTTCTTTATTCCAGAGTTTAAATTCCCTTCCATCTCCTCTGCAATGGAAGACGACAGCGCGTTCCATTTTTGCTCTTCCTTTTGCTCTTGCTTGGCAAATAACCTCTTCTTATTCTCTCTGGTAATTATGTCAGCCTTGGTCTCCTGCCCAAGAGGAAAGAAGCACCTTGCAACTGGCTGGAAATATTCCAAGACGACATTTCATGAGTGAGACAGTATTTTTAAGTGTGCATTGATGGTTTTGACCATCGTCCCATTCTCAAATAGACATGAAAAATGTCTGCTTGTTTAAAATTAAGCCTCTGTTAATTTACAACTTCTGACAATTTAATCTAGTGCGCATAAAGGCTCTGCAGATTGTTTTCTAGGTTTCTGAGTGGTATAGACTATGCTCAAAAGAGCAAATGCGTAAAATCAAAGAGACACCAGGCCCCTGCTCCTTCATGTCTCCATTCTGCTCTCCCTGGAATCTCCTTGCTCTTCCACTCCTCCCAAGTCACCTCCCGCTTCCCTCCCTGTCCTTCCATGAACCTCCCGACTCTCAGGTCGGAGTCGCGTGCTCCTCTGCCGCCCGGCACCTGTCTGTCAAGCGCTCATCGGCAGGTGCTCAGGTGATCATTGACGTGCCACGCCTCCTCCCTAGATTGAGACCCCGGAGACAGGGACGTGCCATTGCCATGTGTGTCCCAGGCACAGAGCAGTGAGTCCGTGCTGCTCGAGGAATGAATGAGGAAGGAGAAAGGGAGTGGATAGAAGGAACGACACGTGTAAGCTGCCCTGCTCTATCCAGGCGAGCATTGCCAATTGACTTAAACACAACACGGACCCACTTTACTATGCGCTTACCAACCCGACTTACCAATCTGCAAAGATAAAGGAGAGAATTCTGTTCGCTATAGAATTCCCACAAACTGTCCACTCATCTGGTTAGTCGTGAATTGATATGGAAAAAAGTTTGTAGTACAACCCCTGTGAAAAGTATTATGGAAATAGCTCAAAGAGCTAAAAGTAGAAATACCATTTGATCCAGCAATCCCATTACTGGGCATCTACCCAAAAGAACAAAAGACATTCTATAAAAAAGACACCTGCACTCGAATGTTTATGGCATCACAATTCACAATGGCAAAGATGTGGAAACAACTGAAGTGCCCATCAATCCATGAGTGGATTAATAAAATGTGGTATATGTACACCATGGAATTCTACTCAGCCACAAAACACAATGATGATCTAGCACCTGTAGTATTATCCTGGATGGAGCTGGAGCCCATTCTACTAAGTATCACAAGAATGGAAAAACAAGCACCACATGTGCTCACCATCAAATTGGTATTAACTGATCAACACTAAGGTGCTCACATGGTAGTAATATTCATTGGGTGCCAGCCAGGTTGGGGTAGGGTAGGGGGGTAAACTCACAACTAATGGATGCAGAGCGTACTGTATGGGGGAAGGGCATGCTTGTAGCCCAGGCTTGGGCGAGGCAAAGGCATTATATGTTACCAAAATATTTGTACCCCCATAATATTCTGAAATAAAAAAATGTTTGCCTATAAAGAAGTCAATTTTAGTTGTCAGCACTCTCTAAATGTTTAATTCTAATCAATAATATTTGAGCTTTCCCAATGTTTAAACTCCCAAGTATACTGTGTTGGACCAATTCAACCTGTCTCTGTCTCAATAGGACGAGGTGACCTTTGGCCCTTTGCCATGCACGATGCTCGCTTTATCTCGAATATGCAGACTTATTAAACTGCTGCTGGGCAAATGCATTTATACAGTGCTAGTAATGTTTAATTCCCTTGAGATTATTTATCTAATTTCTAATAATGGAAAAGGGAAAAATAGAATGGGATTTTTTCCAGTCTTTATGCCTTGTACTACGTGATGAGAATTTTTGCAAGTTCACTATTTTATAATATCTCTCAAAAAAAAGGAGGAGGAGAAGCAGCAGCAGCCTTTTGGCACTCATACATGAAAAAGCACACGCTTAATTGCATGGTTTCACTGACAGTAAGATTGTCTATAAAAATGAAAAGGAGGTTGTTACCACGTGGAGAGAAAGGATGATCGTATAGCTGGGCTTCGGGGGAGGGTCGTTTTTATTATCACAGCAAAAGATGGAGCAAGCCCCATTTCTGCTTAAATTTTTGAAGCAGTTCAAGGGACAACGCCTCACAGAAGGACTGACAATATTTTAGAGTAATTTGTGATTATTTTCTGATGTTATCTTGAGTAAAAAATAAATGAGCTTTTTTGATAAGTCCTCAAACTCATGGACTCGTGCCTGTCCCCGCACAGTTCTGAGACGTCCCTGCCTGCTTGTTAATCCGCGGGGGGCCTGGCAAAGAGATGGCACACTTTCCTGAGTCGCCAAAATTTTCCCAAAAGTAAGTATTCAGAAGTGAGAGTGGAAATATTCTTCCGGTTTCCTTTTTCAGAGGTTTCTTTTTATATGTTTCACTTCTGATAACTTCACCAGGCTTCCTTCGATTTGCTGAGGCAGACGTGGCAAACACCAGTTTGTGACTGGTTTTGTTAAGTTGGTTCTCTCTAATACATTAAAACCTTTGATCTTAGAAGAAACAGAGAAAAAAATGCCTTTTCCCACTGCCCGACTTTGAGGCCCACAGAAATACACTAAAGCCTTAGGAGTTTTCCATTTTTTAAAAAATATAGCAAACTATTACCTTCTCCTAAAATCATAACATCAGTAAATCCAGTTTTAACACAAAAATTTCTGTACTTAGACACTAATACTATCAGGAATTTGAGTTGATAATTTTCACGTCGTAAGCTCCTGGCATTGTCATTCCAGACATAGGTGTGAACTTTCGTTACTTACTCCCTGCCCTCTAGCCCAGTGCAGTCCTTGGGAGAAGGGTAGAAAAAGCATCCCAAGGAGAAAGGTCAGATTGCAGGAATCCAACACACACAAAAAGAGGAATGGATGGTTCTAACCGTCCACCCAAAATAGACTGTGGATTAATTAATTATTTGAATACATTGGAAACAAGTAGACAACCTTTATAATTTAGGCCAAAAAACCCCACACAGGCATTGTGTATCTATTTTTGCTACCTATATGAAAAAGATTTCCACTGTCATTAACTCATAAACAACTATATTTTTAATGTTACTTCAACATTTCCAAATCCAGACTTTCAGTCACTTAATGCCATATATTCTTCTCAAAATAAATACATATTTTGTTATGCATGGTGAACCATATATAACTTTTTATACGCATGTCAGACTTTCTTAGCAAGTAAGTAAAATAATACGTAATCCTATATAAAAAGAAGCAGCATTACATGGAAAGAAACAACCAAAGGGATGAATATCACCTTAAGAAAAAGAAAATTTTACAAATCGGATAGAATTTGTAGAACCTCACATGTGCCTGTTTGCTCTTGGGCTCGCTGAAATCCTTCCTTGGCGTAACAGCTTGAGTTACAATGACTTTTGAAGAGACTGAGTCTAACAATGAATTCCCATAAAATCGCTGAAAAAGATGATACTTTTGCACGGATCTCAGAACACGAGGGTCTCTAGATTTTACTGGAAAAGAAGAAAAAATGTAAGATGATTGCATTTTTTCAGTAGCATTCTCACTGGTTCTTCAAACCATCTCACCCACACATCCAGTAATTAAATTACGGGGACCTTAGTTTAATCTGATTACTTTTGCTAATGAGGGAATTTTAAATCAGGCAATTTCTTGCCTGGAATAATTCCTCATCGTATGTAAAGGATGGAGGTGACGACACACACTTTCATGGTCTATTTCAAAAAGCAAATGTCAGGATGCTAGAAAAGAACAACAGATTCCAGCCAGCACTGTGCCATGCGCCCTGTAGATGAGGTTGAGGAGAAAAAGCTAGACGCAGACGGGAAGACAGCCATCTCAGACATTCTGACTTCTTGCCCCACAGCACAGAGAAAAACCCTTACTCTGTGCCATAGCCTGGGCAGCTGAAGAAAAGCTCTCACTAGGGTAAAATCTAATGGTAAATCTATGGTAAAATCTAAAATCTAATGACACAGAAGTCTCAACAATCAAGGTCTGATTTACTCCCATAACTATAAAACTCACTTAAATGGAATAACTAAGCTGGTTACTTCTCTATGTCTGTATCCACATACATCAAACCAAACCACTTTGAAGGATGTGGATGGTTAATCTAAATTATCCCTTCACATCTTGCAGGATCTTGGTAGCTATTTACATAAGCAGGCTAATACATATTCCACACAGGCTATCCCTACACACACTCCTAGGCCATTCTGAAAGTAAGTCTCGTCCACTCTAAAAATGGTGGCAGTAGGCACAGGGGTAGACAAAGGTGAGAACCAGGAAGGCAAGATCCCTCAGTCTCTCCGTGGATCCACTGTTGGTGGTTTCATGGGCCTCCTGAGTGTGAAGGCAGGTACAATGTCGCTTGTCACATGCAGTCAACTGGGTGGCGTGAAAACAGTTAAAATTGCTTAAAAGACTATGGTCCCAATATATCTGACACTAAGGAATACATAGATTTCTTAAACTACAAACCGTCTTTCCTTAAAACGGCTTCCAACTCTTATGGAGACAAATAGCATATTTGTGCACTTCCTCCTAAAACATCCGCATAGCTACATACATATGACTGTCGGTCAACAAAAGGGGAGATTTCATTGTCACCTTTGCTGATGGACATCTAAACATCCGCACACTAGTCTTGTTGAAAAAGTTTAACTTGTGGCTCACAATATGATAATTTTTCTGTCTAAAAGGCAGAGAGTGAACTTGATTTAAATTTATTTCACCAGAGTCACAGAGCTCACCTTCAAATTGACACCTGGACCTGTCGTAATCGTCACTAAGAGGTTTGTGAGAATGCCAGTGCACAAGCTCGTCAAATTCCTTTTGTTTAACCAATGAAGTAACAATAGGATTATTGCTGTGAGACAAAAACAAAAACCAAAATGCTATTTTAAACTGCATGCTTCCAAATATAACACAGCACAGATTTTATTTTATAATAATATTTTTGAAAATCATAGCTCCCCTTGCTCTTTCTGCAATATAATGTGGGTGGTAGAATCCAAAGACTAGTTTACTAGAGGCTTAAAAAACCAGGATTCACTCCATGCTGCTAACAACCAACCCCATTAACACCAACAAATATTCATTAATTAATTCATTGATTTAAAACACGCAGCTGGAATAGTTTGCTTTAAGATTAAGAATGTATACATTTTTTACCTAGTAATAGTCAAAGGGCATTGAAAATTTGATATTAAATTTATGTGTTACAAACATGTATTACGTGTTGTATACTCCAATATTCTGCATGTCAAAGAATCTTTAGTAAGTGATCATCCATTCCATAGAAGTATTTACTGTGGCACACTTTTGGTCACGTACCTCTTTAGAAAAGGCAAATCTTTCAAAATGTCTCCAGCAAACTTATCAACCACTTTAGATGACATTGGAATAAAACCCAAATTAGGCATATTTTCCTTGGAGCTGTCTGTAAACAAAAAATGAAGATAAAGTCAAATATGAAACTTTCATACAGGACTATTATGTGTTATTTTCTAAAACTTCATATTAAAAAACATTTATATTAATCTTATTTTCATTTGTCAAATTCCAGCCCTTCCTATAAAGTCTCACATTAAAACATCAGGGAACACAGCAGAGTATAAAGAATTAGACAGGGTGTAGGTGTATAGGTGGGTATGTAGGCAGACAGAGGATGGACAGATAAATATATGGATGATAGGTAGAAAATAGATCAAAAAACACCTATGGGCCGGACACGGTGGCTCACGCCTATAATCCTAGCACTCTGGGAGGCCGAGGCGGGTGGATCGCTCAAGGTCAGGAGTTCGAGACCACCCTGAGCAAGAGTGAGACCCCCCATCTCTACTAAAAATAGAAAGAAACGAGCTGGACAACTAAAAATATATAGAAAAAATTAGCCAGGCATGGTGGTGCACGCCTGTAGTCCCAGCTACTTGGGAGGCTGAGGCAGGAGGATCACTTGAGCCTAGGAGTTTGAGGTTGCTGTTAGCTGGGCTGACGCCACGGCACTCTAGCCTGGGCAACAGAGTGAGACTCTGTCTAAAAAAAAAAAAAAAAAAAAAACACTTATGCTTCTTATGTTCAAATGTTCATTCCTTTTATTAGTCCCTGTTAAGAGAAAGGAATCTGAAGATGGAAGTCTCAGAAAATACACACACACAAACACACTTTAATGAAAATAAAATAAAAAAGAAGTAGGGAAAAATACAGATGACAATAAAAGTGCTTGATACCATCACAGTATTCTCTTGGGCCCTCCTTGATTTCATACACGCACACATACACACACACACACACACACACAAATGAGCACAGACAGATATGATATATCATATATAACATGCATTTGACTATGGGCTAATGAATGAGATACTAGCTAATGCCTGGTTCATGATTCTAAGTAAACGGCCATTGCTCTCCCTGTCACCTTCTTGGTGCCCCCTGCTGCCGTTCGCCCTGACACCTTCCTGCTCTGCCGTGGGAGGCAGAGAGCCCATGTGGGCGCTTTCATTTTCAGCTCCTAGAATTCCCCGTCTACTGCTCTGAGTTTAGCTACAATTATATAAAAGGATATTTAGTGTCCCTTATCCAGCATTTCAAGTGTTTTGCACAGAGACATTTTTCTGTTGGCCTATCCTGCCATACTGCTGGAAATGGAAGTCATGTATATATGTGGCTGTTTTTTTTAAATTGGAAACAACATTAATTACAAGCACAACATAAATCTTCACAAGCATAGTCACAGCATACCATTCCGAAAGGTTAACAATAAACAAAATTTATTCTTATTATTAAAAGTCAAAGTGCCAGAACATTATTTATGCTTGCAGCATTGAATTACTGGTGCTTTCAAAATATTTTCAGAGGAACAATGATTTTCTTTCAAATTAATTTAGAAACTTATTACCTTTGATTGGTGACCGATTCGTTCTAAGAAAATTAAGTTTTGTTGTTCTCAGAGGAAATGGCTGTCCGACATCAAACTCTCTGACCAGCTTTGATACAGTATTCCAAAGATGTTCATAGTCCTTCATAATGACATTTCCCAAATTCAAATGTCGGCCTACATAACAATTAAAACCCCTAAATATTAACAGTCATTCACACAGACACAGAAGTACACATTTTTTCTAGATTTGTGGAACTCAGAAGAAATACTTGTCAAATCGTGAAATTTTCAGTAAATTCCATACTGGACCTAAGTGAAAACAGTTACTAGTACCAACTATGTCACATTTTAAAGTTTGTCTTGTTTTTCTACTTGGTAAGTAAATATCAAACTTATAACTATCTTAACTAACAATAACAAGTAGTGGATATTTAATTATTCTTTAAAGTAATATAAAATGTTATACCACACATAACTTTACAATCAATAAAATGGAATAAAAGCTTTGATTTTTCAGACGTGAGAGTATCTGCGGAGGATCGTTACATTTATATGTGGCCAATTCACGCCGATGATTACATTATGAAGGAACCAAATCCTAGGGGTCAAAGCAGCTTTAATAATGTTCAAGTATTATAGTTACAGTTCTCTCAAAATGTGTTTTATTTTTCTTTGACTATTAACAAATTATTAACAATTAACAATTCATTCTAGGGAAAAAATTAAAGGAAGAAAAAAACAAATTATACATCACAGATATACTAATTGGCCTTATATGTTGGAAAAAAATTTAAATTTCCTAAATATCTAATAGTAGGAAATGATCACATTAATTGGTGTAAATTTTATGAGGAAATATTATACATGCATTAAAATGAAAAATTCAACTATCAAAAAATTTATTGGAAATATTTTTCCAAATATACTTTTGGAGTAATATTAAGTGAAAAAATATTTTAAACTAACATTCGCTCTAATTGTAATTAAATAAAAATTATATACATACATAAATAAAGATGGGAAGAAAGGAAAATAATTCCCGTTATATGTTGGAGGTATAGGAAAATTATTTTGAAGTCTAAATTCTTTATAACATTCTTCTCTGGATAGATATAGTGATTATAATATGCTAAAGTGGTACCTTGTACATTTTCCTTTTCATAGTAAAAAGCAATGTTCTTCAACAAAGCCTCATCACTTAAGTCAGAAAGGTAAATTAAATTCAGATTCCAAAATTCGAAAATGTTTACATTATTTAGGATGAAATATTCACACCACTTTTCCTGAAAATTTAAAATAAACCAAGTTATTGGCAATTTTCATATTAGCAACAAACCACAGAATGACTTCATATGCCACCATAACCCAACGAATGGCAGTGGCCAGGGCTGTTCCAATTCTGGTGGCTGTAAGGCCATTCCAGCTGGGTAATGATGAATGCTTTATACACTGTTGGTGGGACTGCAAATTAGCGCAACCTCTATGGAAAACAGTATGGAGATTCCTCAAAGAACTAAAAGTAGACCTACCATTTGATCCAGCAATACACTACTGGGTATTTATCCAAAGGAAAAGAAGTAATTTTATCAAGAAGACACCTGCACCTGAATGTTTACTGCAGCACAATTCACAGTTGCAAATATGTGGAATCAACCCAAGTGCCCGTCAATTCATGAGTGGATTAGCAAAATATGGAGTATGTACACCAGGGAGTACTACTCAGCCACAGAGAAGGATGACTTAATGCCTTTTGCAACACTTTTGATGGAACTGGAGACCATTATCCTAAGCGAAGTATCTGAAGAATGGAAAAACAAACACCACATGTGCTCACTATTAAATTAAAACTAACTGATGAGCAGACATGTGGTTTTCCTTTGGGAAGTGCCATGATGGGAGCAGTAGGGAGCGGCTGTAAATATAGAAGCAACCTCACTCACTCCCCAGCCACTCGCCTCCTGCCGTGTGGCCCAGTTCCTAAGGGACCAAGGACTGGACCCATACCGATGCACGGCCCTGGGGCTGGGGACTGCAGGGATTTGGGATACCGGAATATATTTTCTCGCCCAAGCATCAAAAGAGCCTACGTGGTACTGTGTTCACATGCCTATATTTACTGCATCACGAACCTGTTAAAACTTCCGTTAGAGCAATTACGAGTGTTCACAAATGCAAACTCAGATATGCAAGAAATGTGCTTTTCCATACCCGACCTTTACTTGCTGGCCTTGCATTCCCCTCATGCTGGTACAGCGCACATCATCAGAGCACTACCAGGCAAAATGTGTCCGATTCTACTACTTCTCAGTCACACTCAGATCAATGCCCTTCATTAATTTCCTCCACACCCCTCATGCCACGCCTTGACAGGGACATCTATGCAAGTGCCACCCTCGCTTCAGCAGGACGGGGTGCCCACTGCTCAGGCTGGCTGTCCCTGGTCACAGGGGCAGCTGTCCCTCCACACGGGCAGCCCACCGGGTCCCGCCGTGGGGAATGAACGATCAGCGGCCGCTGCATGGCCTGGAGTTGGCTCCCTGGGGCTGGTCGTCCATGAGACGCAGCCCTTGGGCTCCAAGGGGACCGTCCACGCCATTTCTTATCCTCTCACCGGCTTCCGAGAACTCTTTGACGACTAACAAGTCTTCCCTTTCCTCTGCACCAAGTGGCATGACCCAGAGCACACAGGAACTTTCCACACCCTCCCCCCGGGCGCCCAGACCATCTTCCACGACTTCACACCTAGACAGACACCACACCGACTCTTTGACGCCAGGTCTCCTACGTGACACTGCTGTCCCCCAAGCTACGTCGGAGGCCTGCAGCCCGGGTTCTCTATGCAGACTGCTGGCGCTGCAGGGGGTCCGTCACGCCCGTCCCACCCACTTACGGTGACTCCTCTGTGTACCCTCCAACTGTCCCCTCCCAGCTCCTGGACGCTGCGCAGGGTTGAGGACGAGGAGGCAGTACAGTGGGGGCAGAAGGGGGTCATTGGCCACTTAGTTTTTTCAATAATATTTTTTATACGTGAATCAATAAGTATTGGTTTAGAAGCCAGGAATTCGGCTCTTGTTCCTGCGATCCCCAGAGCATGGGCGCGCGCCAGTTCAGCTGGGGAGGGGCGTGAGAAGGGAGGCGGTGCAGGGAAGAGTTTCTCGCGGGAGTTTTTCAACTGATGAAATTCAGGGGGGTCATGAACTTCAAAGGGAAAGTTACACTTTTATTTTTGTTTTTGCTAACCTGTAACAAAAATTTATATTTTCTTCAATTACGAACCCAGCCCTGCCTATGCAGTACCTGGGACCTGACGGCGGTAGAGATCACAGGTGTTTTACAGCGCAGGTGTTGCGCCTGTCTCGAGATGTCATTGATACTCACACTGCGCTGAAACTGCGGTGGTGAGCCCATCGTCTAATGTAGTAACGAAGGAGCAAAGAACATCGTAAATATATGTTTTAATTTGCAATAACTGCATTTATTTACTGTATAACTTGTGTCCTTTGTAATCCTATGTACCTTTTTTATACGTTATTATTCTGAGAAAGGCTTGAAAGAATTTACCAGATTTCTGTAAATGCCCCAGAGGCGGGAGGGATGTCAAGTGCCCCTAAATAATTCTCCTGCGTCACCCTGACACACTGCTCTGCGGAGGACGGGACGGTGGCACCTCCTGTCCTTCCCTGGCACCAGCATCTGCCCCGCCTCTCGACAGGCGGAAGCTGCTCATGCTGCCACACGTCACTTCCCCCGTGACGTCCCCTCCCTCACCGACGCTCTTCCACACTCTCCCTCCACCCTGTCCGCCGAAGGCCGCCTCCACCCGCCCGCACCCCCACGTCACCTCGCCAAGCTCGCCCACGTGGCTCTTGCTCACTGTCCCCGCTGAGTGAGGACGATTTTCACGCCCGCCTGGCGCTCTTCCTCCGCGGCTCAGCCACGCCCACGTCAGGGCAGCTCCACCTGCAGGGCATCCTCTCAACATCCCACCCCAGCTTTGTGCTCTCAGCCACACGCCCAAGACCTTCGTTAGTCTCTTAATTACGGCCAGCAGAGCCCCGTGCCACTAAACGCAATGTATCCTTTCTGTCCTCAACTTCCCCCAATTGTCGACAGCATTGGACCTTGTTAACCACGCACACCCTTCGAACTGCCCTCTTCCTCCGACCTGCAGGACGGTCCACTGTCCTGCGTCTCCCTGCCCCTCCAAGCTGTTCATCCAAGCAGCCCCTCCTCGACGCCTCGCCAGAGCCTCAGTGCTGGGATACTGTATGTCCCTGTCCCCAGCCCCCCGGCCGCATCTCGCTCCCCCGGATAACTTCATCTGTCCCCACGGCATCAGTTAACGCGCACAGGCTGACGCTCCCTGGTCGGTTCCACTCTCCTGAGTCCAAACCAGAGTTTCAAATTGCTGACTCGACGTCCCCACTGGCACCTCAAACTCCAGATTTCCAGAACTAAGCTCGGGAACCTCTTCCACCAAAGGGCCCTTCACACAACGGCAGCGTCCCCACCGATGAGCCAGCCAGAGATGCGGGACTCACTTGACACTCGCTTTCTCTCTTCCCCACGCTCAGTCACCAAACCCATCAGTTCTACGCCACACACAACCCGAAACTGCCCCTGTTCACCCTGCGCACCGGCCGGTCCCCAACGCCATCAACACTTACCTGAGCGAGGTTGCAGTCACCTCATTTCCCCAAATCTGCTGCTTGGCCTGCACAGTGCACTCTTGGCAGTGCAAGGCAGAGACATTTTTAAAAAATAAAGTGCCGCTCATCTGTTTGAACCAAGCAACTGGTTCTCAACGTGCCTTTACTAAGTTACATCTCCATTCTCTTAGCAGGACTTGGGGGTCTGTCTGACCGCCTCCCGCCCACCCCTGCCGCTTCTGCACTGCCCGCCGTCCTGTGCCTGTTCCACCAGATGTATCTCCGTCCCTCGGTTATGCCACCCTCAGGCCACCAGACACGTTGTCTTATGCTCTAGAACCCAGTTTTTCCCTCTCCCCATCCTGTTAACACCTACTCATCATTCAGGACTTGGGTCACCTCCTTTATCTGCATTTCTTAAGAGAAACCATCCTTTTCAGACTAGGGCGGATCCTCTCACTATCAGATTATAAAGCATCCTGTGGTTCCTCTTTCACGATAGTTTTTAAAATTCAACATCTGTCTTCTCTGCAAAATGTAGGCCTAAGAAGGGGTTAGGGTGGGATGGGTAAATATGTTTTTATTTTTCTCACTCTGTCCCAGTGATCAGCACAATGCCTGTGCACAGTTACATGTTTGTGGACTGGCTTCCTAATCAATGGGCTATAAAGCACTTTCCTTGAGCACTTTGACTACATGAACCAAGATCCCTGCCAATTGGCCCACTGATCCCATCTCTGGGTATCGAGCCCATGCCAGCAGCCCCAGATCAAAGGGAAAGGCTCCCACCGAGAATAACAGCATTTGTAATACAACAAACACTGCCGAATATTCCACATGGGAAATGGGGAAGTAAACCACGACACCTCCATTAAAAGATAACTAGTAGCCATAACAAATGATTCTAACCAACATTATGAAAGAAATAGAAAAATATATGAAAAAACTATACGTGTGTGTGTGTGTGTGTGTGTGTGTGTGTGTGGAGAAAGAGAGAGAGAGAGATAGAGCTCCAATGGAAGAAACAATAACAACCAATAGAAAGTCTCTGCATTTAAAGTAAAGAGAAAAACTAAAATTTAACAGAGCATTGATTTGAGTGGTGGGCCTCTGGGAAGATTTTCTTTTTCTTTCTATTTTCCTAAAATCTCCAAATTTTCTCTAGATATCCGCTATAATGGACAAAAGTAATAAACACATTGATTTCTTCAATTCCTTTTAAGAGTAGAACACAGTGGTCACCAACAATGTCCTATAGTTAATGACACAAAAACCTGGCCCTTCCCCAGGCATGCCAGTGTGTTCCTGTAGCCCCGGCTACTCAGGAGGCCGAGGCAGGAGGATCACCGGAGCCCCAGAGTCCAAGGTTGCAGTGAGCTATGATTGCACCACTGCACTCCAGCCCAGGGGACAGAGCAAGACTCTGCCTCTAAAAAGATTTTTAAAAATTAAAAAAAAAAAAACAAAACCTGATCATGACAGAGATTTGAGGAAGGCAAAATAGCGAGGCTTTGTCCTTGGGTTAGGATATATCTTGCTGCTTGTTATTCCTGTCAAACATAGTTGTTGAAATTTGGAAGTGATTGATTCACACCGTTAAACTTTTTTTTTTTTTTTTTTTTTTGAGACAGAGTCTGGCTCTATTGCCCTGGCATCAGCCTAGCTCACAGCAACCTCAAACTCCTGGGCTCAGGCGATCCTCCTGCCTCAGTCTCCCAAGTAGCTGGCACATGCCACCATGCCCAGCTCATTTTTTCTATATATATATTTTTAGTTGTCCAGATAATTTCTTTCTACTTTTTAGTAGAGACGGGGGTCTCGCTCATTGCTCAGGCTGGTCTCGAACTCCTGACCATGGCCTCCCAGAGTGCTAGGATTACAGGCGTGAGCCAACGCGCCCGGCCTATACCGTTAAACTTTTAAAGCCCCTTTTAAAGGGCTATCGCTGTTCCCGTATAAAGCTATTTTGAAGGTTACTGTGGCTCTTATCTATCAAATAGTCAAAACAAAAAACAGTAAACAAATGAAGAGTATATTTACCATGCTGAACAGGGTCTGCGTGCCCTGAATCCAAGGGCAGGTGACGAATCTCGCACAAGCTCTCTGGGAGAGAGGCAGGTGGAGCAGGAGAGCCACGCTGAGACAGCGCAGCTTGCACAGATCTCCCACCCCCTGCAGGGTTAGGCCGTTGCTTTTCATCTAAATAAAATAGAAGAGGTGAGCCAGAGAGCGGCAGCTGTGAAACCGCGCGATAACCACTCAGCTCCTCAAAAGCTGGCGGCGCACGTTGCCGTGCAGGAATCATTCCACTCTTCATTGCACATTTTTGAGACGGCGCTTTTCTTTACACACGAGCTCGACTGCATTTATACAGATGTGAGAGCAGGAGAAGGGGAAGCTGCCGGCGTAATAGCAGTTAACAAAGAACACTTCTCAGGATTTTTAGTGAAGCCAAACCTCACGTGAGCTGATCGAGCAGCTGATGACATCATGGCTTCACGGGGCTCTGCCTTGGGGCAGCCGCACGGGAAATGCTCTGTGCTGTCCAGGGCATCGTATTTGAAAAGTGATATTGAACGTTACCAGGGTGAGGACACCGGTGGCAACACATCTGGAAAACATGTTCAATAAAAACAAGGGTAGAAAAGTGGATACGTGGGACATCGTGAGACAAGGACGTCACATCTGTCTTCAAATGTTTGCAGGGTTTTCAGGGAAGCAAGAGCGAGACTTCCTCAGGGCACCTCCAGGGGCCACGTAGGGTCTAATGATTAGGAGTTCCACAGAGAGATAGGTTTGACTTGGTATCGTTTTTGTGAGGATGACTTAAAGTAGCAAGCCTAATCATGCAGAAATACTCACTAAAATTATATTCGAGGAAACATTGGAAAAACAATTATAAAGGATGCTAGGTACAAGATGCTGAGCCCTGAACATTTCTGAAATTGTGGAAGAAAGAGCCAAAACTTCATTTTTCTTCAATAGGAATCTTTAGCCAAGAATCCCCTGGGACTCAGATTGTGTACAGAACAGTACATGTACACGTGTGTGTCTGTGTGTGTATGCGCCCCATCCGTGAGCACATATATGCAGAGAAGATTGTTTATTTGGATAGAGATTCCAGACTGGCCAACAGATTCCTGATGGACCCCATGACCCATGCAGAGTGTCAAGAACTTCAGCATCTCTCCAGGCTGGGATGACGCCAAGACACCGCGGCAGGAGTGCTCCTCCAAAAGACAGTTTGCTGTCGTGGGCCCTGCACGAGAGAGACCTACATTCAACCTGCACTGCCGCTTAACACCTCTGGTCGGAGGAGTGTTGCCTGGACTGTTTGCACTTCAGTGTTTCCATATATGAAATAGGAATAATGATGCCTTTCTCGAAATGCCGTGGTGCGGATTTGATGACACAAGGCCCATGAAGGGCCCAGACAGTGTGGCACAGTAGACTCCCACCAAGTGCTAATATCCCTTTTTGTTTCCTTTTTCTTTTGGATGATTTAGACTATATAGGTACTAAGGGAAACATCCGTATAATAAAACACTAAATCGTGTAACAACACAATCGCTGTGTCCTGATGAACATAAATTCTAGAGTTTTTTTTCCCGTTTTGTTTTTTGAAGTTTATATAGATAAATAAGGGGAAAACGTGAAATACCAAATGGAGGAAATGACAATGTGGAAAGCAATGACATGTCCCAAAAAGTTGTAATAATCACACCTGTTTGGTGTTAGCTTTCTGACCAGAGGAAGCCTTTCTGTTTTCTAAGAAGCGATGGTACATTCTCAGCGACAATGAGCACGAAGCAACACAAAGGACACGTCGAATGTCGGATCCTTCCGGCCAGACTTGCTGAAGCAGAGCTATCGCCTCACGTGCCTGCCACGGAAAAGAACCAAAGCATGTCATGGTATTTAGAAAATATTTTTATTCGTAAGTGATCTCGCTAGAAGAACTCAGACAGAAACGATGGATAGATATGACAGCATAGAACTGCAATTATTTCTGTTAAAATATTGTAAACAAAAATTTTAAATGGGAAAATAATTTCAACAAATATTTCAATAAAACCATTAAAAATGTAAACATGTAAAGAGCTCTAATAAGTCAATAAGAAAATGCCTCAGCCTTTAATAAGACTATAATTCACTAAAGAAATGTTAATGCAAATACTATTAAAATTTTTAAGAGTTCAGCCTCTTTAATAGTAACAAAAAAACCCAATTAGATATCATATTTTTACTTGCAAAGGACTTTTTTTTAATGATAATAGTACTGGAAATCATGTGATACATCATTTCTCTTATACGTTGCTAATGAGAGTATAAATAGGTACAGACTTAATGCAAAGCTATTTGTCAATATATGTGACTATTAAATATGTTGACACTTTTTGATTGACTATGAGAGTTCTAGGGATATAACCTAAGTAAATAATCCAAAATACGTAGCAAGATTTATGCACCAGAATGTTCATCACAGAGTTATTTGTAAAAGCCAATTTTAAAAATTTTAAATGTTTAAAATTTGGGAAATGTTAAGTATCCAGCAAGAATAAATGTTTGTGAAGGATTTTTAATTAAATTTTAAAGTTTATATAACTTAGAAAGTGAATATAAAAATATATCACATGCTCTCAATTGTGTAAAAATACATAGAACACCCCTGAAAGAATATATTCAAAAAGCGGGAGTTTCTACCTCTAAGTGGCAATACTATGCATACTCCTCATATAATAAGCATGAAAGATATGTAGAGGAATAAGACCACAACATACTAAAATATAGATGTTATACTTCTGTTAATATCTTGTATTACAACGTGAGGCACTGGACTACACGCAGGACATGTTTATGTTTTTCAAATTCTATCATGCATTTTCCTAAATTACATATATACATAATATGGTTTGTGGGACAACTATGTAGCTGAAAATAAGTCTGTACTAGTAATCGATTTCCTAAAAATACTGAATATAAATATAAATAATATAAATATTGTACACAAATCACACCCTCAGAAGGATATTCAAAAAAATAAACTGATCGATACTCTTCAAAAACATCAAAGTCATGAAAGACAAGGCAAGGCTGAGAACCACTGCAGACTAGAGGACACTAGGAAGACATAACAACTGAATGGATGTGGTTCCCTGGATCGAATCCTGGAACAGCAAGATACTTGTCAAAAGTAAGCAACACTCAAATAAGTTTTGAAACTTAGTTAATAGTATTGTATCAATGTTAACTGCCTGGTTTTAATAAATGTGCCCTGGTTACTTAAGATGTCAACATTAAGAGAAGCTGGGTAAGAATTATATGGGAACTCTGTACTGTTTCTGCAACCTTTCTATAATTAAAAATTTAGTTCAAATAAAAAGTTTTTTGAAAAGTCTCATTACCTCTTCCATCATATTTTTCTCTTTTAAATTTCCAAAAAGAGATGTTAATGCTGAAACTCTAAATTCTTGCATTTGTTTAAGCAGGGTTTTATAAGCATCCTTAATCTTCTTTGTATTCTGTAAAATGAAGAAAAGTCAGGTAAATTGTCATAAATAAAATATGTAATTTTTTCCTATAGGAAATTAGATATTTAAGATATAATTATAATATATTTCTACGTAAAACAAAATTACACTAACGTAATTGCAGATGGTCACCAAAGATTTTAAAGTCTGCCAAACATCACAATTTTCTCTTTGCAAATTAATTTTTGTCTGGGAATACAGTGCGTTTCGTATTTTAACAGTTTCATAAAGGGATAATTAAGCACCCCATGATGCTCTGGCCACGACGAAATTGCCCAGCAGGACACATTTCTCAGAACGTATCTCTGTCTTAAGTGACGCATGACTGTACTAAAGCAATATAAACTATTTCATCGTTTCATGGCAACCATGTGGATGTTTCCAGATACATGTGGGGTGTGACGCCAATGACAAATGTTAATCGACTCAAAAATTATTTTGATGAAATATACAATGGCCTTCATATGCAGAATTCATTATTAGTAGTGAAAAATAAGCAGAAACTGGATTTATTTATAAAATCAGTGTGCATTTTTGACTCTGAAAATTTCAATACAGTAATTCTCAAAAATGCCTGTGTAGCAAAATAATGAGATCATGGAATTAATTCAAATTTTTAAACTTTGGAAATTCTTCTATTAATTACTTGATATTAAGAAATAAACTTATTTCAGTTATTTTCTGTCTTCATTAACCTTCTCTGTTGTTTTCTCATCCACCGTATGAAACCATTTCAATAGCATGTCTCAGCCACAGACATGACTTTTGCCTCTAATGCAATGCATGTCTGGCCTTCACTAACTTGGGGTCAATATGCACACGGTGGTAAAGGACATAGGGCTGAGCTGGACTGTGTCTTTGCAAATCGTGCTCTGTTACTCATCTGGTGTGTAGGGTGAGCAGGTTACTGATTCAAGTACCTATTTCCTCATCTGCAAAACACAGACGACACCAACACCCGCCTTATGGGATTATTGTGAAGGTTAAATGAAAAACATTCGTAAGAACTACCAAGCCAATTTTATAACAATAAATGCTCAATAAATGATTGCATTCATGTTATTATTAACTTATTATTATTAATTGTTTATACCTCTTTGTTAAACCTATGATAATTTCCATAGAGGAGGTGGAAAGAAAACTAAGTCAAGTAATTAAGAAAATTTTGTAAAATTACAGAAGAAAATTGTCTTTTAGGTATAAGTTACCTCCTTGAAAAACCTCTGGTTACTGTGCATGCTGGGAAGAAGGTAGGCATAAAGTCGAAGTATATCAGATGCCTGCCCTGAGGAAAGCACGATGTTGACCTTCCTTGCCCAAGACTGAATGATTAAAAAGTTGAAAAGGTGTGTTTGTAGATCGTTCCGGCCTTCGTCGGCCACTATCAGGAAATACGGGCAACTCTCTTCCAAGAACATTTCCCACTCTTTAGATAAGCATCCAGAAAACTTAGTGTGAACATCAATGGTGGTGTTATTTTGAAGATGCAGAATTAAAGCAGTTCTCAAAGAAAGAAGTTCAGGGGAGTTGAAATACGCATTCTCGGCATCCTGTGCAGGGGAGGTGAAGAACATTGTTTTGAAATTATCACTCGGCAGTTTAGTGCGTTAACACATATCATCAAAGACATTAAAGGAGTAAGATCCAACACAGTTTTGTTCTGTCTGGTAGTTGGAGAACAGACCCTTAAATGCTGACTGCCATTTCACAAATATATGCCAAAAACCACAAATTATATTTAAATGCATGTGTCTCCTTTAAGAAGGCTATAATACTCAGAGTTTATCACACTTCCCCTTCTCACTCTCTAATTCTTTTTCTCGCCATACTTCAGAAAGAGAAAGGGCAGAACAGTATGTATAAAGCAAGCGGTGGATATAGATTATCCAGAGCAGGAAGCCGAGGTGACCACTGCATTCTAGAGAATTATCCCAAGTCACTACCACGCTCCGTAAACAGCCTGGGTTTCTCTCATCAGACCTAAATTAGGGCAGTCACTAGATGTAAACGTTAGACCAGGAGCCCCGCTCTCTGTCCAAAACATTGCTCGCAAGCAGCCCCCAATGTTCAAAAATACAACAACAATCTAGATTGCAAGGCGGTTGAACAAACCCACACCGAAATCCTTCACCCGTAGATACAGGCTTAGGGAAGGGTAGCCGTGGTGATCCATCTCTGAATGTGAAATTGTTGAATAAGTATATTAATTATGTTCATAATCAAAAAAAGCAAATCCAAAATAGTATTCTGTTGGAGGCAGTTGCTTAGAACAATCCACAGCAAAGCAGCGTTAATAAGTTTGCCTGGGCTCAGTCCTATTTTCTTCTGCGCCTCCACAAATCGCCCGCTGAGCCGTGAGGACAGCAGCAGCTGTCAGAGTGCGATACACCGGAACCCAGAGCTCGGGGCCGCCGGTGAGGAGCTTTCTCACCCTCCCTCGGGATCCCGTGTGTCCTTATAATAAAGTTCCAACAATGTGAATAAAAAATAATCTTAAGTGCAGTAATTTCTGAATACTGGGATTGTGGGTTATTTTTTTTCCTCTTACCTTTACATTTTCTGAATTTCTGTAAATATAATCTACCTTGTAGGAAGGAAAGAATTTTAGTTTTAGTTCTAAAATTATAGGAAAGAACTCAGCTGTCCTATGTTACCTTGAAGAAAACTATGGAAAACTGTCCCCCTTTACTGATAAGATCCACAAGGTAGCGTTCGACGAGGTAGAAGAGATGGAGATTCTGCCCAGGCTTTAACAGCTCGTCACATACGCATGTGATAAGCAGTGAGTCCCCGTCAACCAGAAAAAATTCAGACTCAACGAAATCATTGAATAAACTGGAATAGCTAAAATGAAAAACAGAACGAAAATCACATATGCACGACACAGTGTTCAAAAAAGGCAGTAACATTGCTATTATTATCTCATTGTCATTATTGTCAATAGCCAAACTGGCTAATTGTTTTGTGGCACTGTCTATGCACAGACTTTTGAAATAGAACCACATGCACAACTATCTTTCACAGGAAGAAGGCAGAGTCATTCCCATTTCACAGATAACAAAACTTAGGCTCAGAGAGAGAGAGAGAGCAAATCGTCCAAGGCCACATGGCAGAGCCTGGGTTAGATCAGGAATCTAGTACCTGTATTCTGAATATAGACATAAATTATATTTTTTCCTGCTTAATCAATTTCATTCCCTTTTAAAACAATGGATTCACTAATGGCTGCTGACAAACGAAGCAAGAGAAAACGGTTTCCACCACCATCAAACAGCTCTACAAGTATTGTGTTGAACAATCATACATATATATATGTAAATACACCACATATAGTTATATATACTATTGCATATAATATACTTTATATACTGGTACATATTGTATATGGATACATTATACACATATACACTAACATAAACACACGCACTGATACATATATATTATACACAGCTGACCCTTGAACAACATTGGATTGAACTGCACAGGTCCACCTATATGAGGAAATTTTTAATAAATATATGGGAAAACTTTTTGGAGATTTGTGACAATTTGAAAAAATTGGCCAACCGCATAGCCTACAATTATCAAAAAAATTAAGAAAAAGGTATATCATGAGTGCATAAAATGCATGTAGGTAGTCTATTTTATCACTTACTACCAAAAATATACATAAATCTATAATAAAAAGTCAAAATTTATGCATACAAACACTTCAGGCTGCACATGGCACTATTCACAGTGGAGAGAAATGTAAACAAGCGTTAAGGTGCAGCATGAAATCACAACTGCATAAAATTAACCACAGCATGTACTGTACTACTGCAATAATCTCACAGCCACCTCCTACTGCTCTTTCCGCGAGCTCAAGCGTTCCAAGTATCCGCTTACAACGCCGTACGACACTCATCATCTCCTAATGAGCAGTTTCTTTCTCCAGTAAATTTCATATCACAGTAAAAGTGAAGACAACAAGGATAAAGACCTTTATGATGACCCACTTCCACTTAATAAATACTAAATACATTTTTGCTTCCTTATGATTTTCATAATATCTTCTTTTCTCTAGCTTACTCTTTTTTGTGAGAATACAGTATATAATACAACATAATAATACATATAAAATACAAAACATGTGTTAATTGACTGTTTATGTTATAGGTAAGCCTTCTAGTCAAGAGCGGCTATTAGTAGTTCAGTTTTGGAGAAGTCCAAAGTTAGATGTGGATGTTTGCATGAGGCTCAGCGCCCCCAGCCCCGTGCTGTCCGAGAGCCGCAGTGTGCAGATCAGCACAAGGCCGAATTGACGTACAGGGAATGTGATATATGATTTCACATCTCTTTATTACTACAGTAATACTCACTCAGCTTTTGGCATTTCTTCCAAAATTAACTGGGACATTTTCTTCAAAATTGTCGTACATTCGTCTAAACGTCAAAAAAAAAAAAAGTGGGAAAAGATACTAGATTATTTTTCAGTCTATCCTTTTTAGAGGAGCTATCATTTAGTTATCGTTTAAGAAAGAAGAAACAATAATGCAGTTTTTTTCATTCTGTTAAATCTGTGTACGTTATAGGATCATTGTTTCATAATTTATAAATATCTTAAATTGGAAATTACCCATTCTTGTCGCTGTCTGCACCTCTAGCCTGAACTGGAAAGTGTTAAAGATGGCGAATGTCCTTTCCTGGGTGTCTCCAGGCAGCAGTTGTGAGTGACAGTGGCCGACCTGCAAAGGAAGGGCAGTAAAAGTCTTTATTCCGCCAGCAAATCCACGTGGGATTACTGGCAAAGCAAAACTCTAGGCACCCGGCGCACGAGAACGAGCAAGTCAACACACTGTCGGCTCTCGTGGGGCTGAAACTCTACCCGGAGAGACAGATACTAACGAGATAATCACAGAAACAATGGAAAGTTGTGAGTGTGACAAAGTCAAGAGGTCAAAGGAAGTTTCCCTGAAGAAGTAACGCTTGAGGTGAGAGTTGGAGAGGAATTAACCGAGCAAGAAGGCAGAGCGGCATTGCAGGCAGAAGGAACATCAGAGCCCACGTGCGAAGGCTCTGCAGTGGGAAGGAACATGGTCTTAGGAACCGGGTTCTAGGAAGAAGCCAGCAGGGCCTGAGCAGAGGGAGCGAGGGCAGGGCTGGCCGTGCTGGAGAGAACATGCAGAGCCCTTAGCACGTTACAGAACCTTCTCTTCTGCTAGAGTCCAACACGAGCCTCTGGTGGATTTGAAGCAGGTGGCATTATAATTTGCTTTGCATTTTGAAAAGGTTAGTCCGGCTACAGTACAGAGAACAGATAGGACAGGACAAGCTTCCTGTGAAGTAGAGCAGAGAGAGCTGCTGTCCGGGGAGTGATGATGGCAGCTCGATGTAACACAGTTTGATGGGAGCTTGAGCTAAGAAGCTGGAGAGATGTGGGTCTATTTGCAGGACATTTAGGAGGTGAGCATGACATGCTTTGGTGGTGGACTGGATGTGGGTGGAGACGAGGGGAGCCGTTAAGGACGACTCAAGGTTCTGCAGAGTGATGGCTCTGCCATCCCCTGGGCCGAGACTCTTGGAACAAGGCTGCATGGCAGGGAACAGCGCGAGTGCATTTGTAGACAACCTGAATTTGACTTGCTTTTAAGATTTGCCACATGCCATGTAATGTAAGCAGTTAAATGTACAAGTCGAGAGGTCAAACGCAGAGTCTGGGCTACATCTGAATACGTGAGTCATTGGAGCATCTATTGTAAGTGGGGCCATGGGTGTATATGAGCTTGCTCGGACAGGGAGAGACGGTATCATGGGAGAAGAAAACTAAAAATCCAATTTTGAGGATTACTAATATTTAATAAATGGCAGTAGACAGGAGGAAGAGTCTATAAAGGTAACAGAAAAAAACTACTAAGAAGCAGAAGAAAATGCACTTGAGCATTTTGCCATGGAAACCAAATATTGAGACATTTGCCATTTAGTACGTTAGGGCTGTGAAACATAGATAGATACATAGATAGGTAGGTAGATAGATAGATAGATTCCTCTTCCATGACATTAAGGAACATATAATGGTGATGTACACACTAACATTAAACATTAAAATGATAATGCAAAAAAGCATATGACTGTAAAAATGAGTAAGTTTACAGAAAAATGAAATTACTGTGGGCTGAGACATTTAAGAAACACTTCGTAGAGATCAGAGCCTAAGCATGGCCTCTCGCTAACCAGTTATTCTGTCTTATTTCAAAGGTTTACAGAGGATCTACTCTTCACCAAGCACTGTGCTTGCTGCAACATGCGCAAATGCACGAAACACGGGCCTCTCCCCTTATGGCCTGCTGGGGATTTAAAGAGAATTTAGTCAAACGTTGCAGGACGCTATGCCGAGTGCCCTGGAAGCAGGGGCACAGGAAGCCGTCAGAGCACTGGGAAGTTCTTAGCCACACTGGGAGGGTCAGGTCCTGTGTTCTGAGCCTTCAAGCACAATTGGAAAGATGAAGAATTATGGAAGCTTACTGGGGAAGATGAGAACTATAGAGGATTACATTCCAGGTAGAAAAATCAGCACCAGTTCAATGCACAGAGAGGTGAAACCACATGGCGATGTTGAGGTTCTGCAGGTCGCTCTACACGGCACAGCACAGGGAGGCTGATCGGAGATGGGGGTGGAAAAGTAGGTATGAGCCAGATTATAAAGGGTCTTGTCTCCAGGTAAAAAGTCCAGCCGTGTTCGTGCAAACTCTCTGCCACCCATTCATGCATTCTTCATCCTCACTAACTGCACATGAGCCACACCGTCTTCTTTCAGCTCTCCACATTTTACCAAGCTCACATGGAAAGAACGAGTCAGTAAGAACCAAGCAGGCAAGAGAAAATCAACCCCAAGTATGTTACAGAAGGAAAGAGAACATCAGAAAGTTAGTGTCCGATTCTACAAGACGAACTAAGTTAATCTGCATGTTTACAGGTGTTCACAATGCCCTTAGTGTCTCAGGAATTTTTATGGCACTCCTACAACAAAATAAATACCTAATAGATTCATTTACTAAGTAGTTAGCTCCAAACAAATTAATAAGGATTTCTGTCCTCACAACTTAGAAATTCTTTTAAGAAATAATACACAGAAATTGAAAGGAATAATATATCATATAGTTTTTAAAATTAAATAACCACGACTACTACTGAGACGTAGGTGCCTGTTGGACACTTCATAACTTTTCAACAATCACCATGGTGGCAGAATAAAACCCTGCTTGACTTGACAATTAAGGGATTTCATAGCCTGCCTACCTACTTTCCTCTCACTACCCTATAGGACAGCTTCCCTAGCAAACTCTACCCCAAACGCATAAATGCCTTAAGACAAACAATTCACAGTCATTATCCCCATTTGTCTCTCATTTAAGGGAGAGGCATGCTAGAGGAAATAAAGCCAGCCACCTGCATGAACTGGTGATTGAACATACATTAATATAGATAAATAGATACAGATACACGCACATATACATACATGCACAGATTAGTGGTATCACTAAATATTCGAGGCAAAAAAAACAAAAAACAAAAATAAGAAGAAGCCAGATGAATAAACATGATTCAGCGACAGAACACATCTTCACAATATTCTAATTAGTATTCTCAAAGAATCGAAAAGAGATTATCTAATACAAGAAATAACAGGCAGGGGGCACAAGTAAGTGCTCATAAAAATTAAAAACATAACTTCAGAAAAGGATCCATGTGCAGAACAGTGACATGAGCATGCTGGAATTTCAAGATAGTTATTGCGGGGGTTAAAGTGCAGGAAATTTTTTGGAGGACAGAAATACAGATCAAAAAGTTCTAAATCCACTTACTAGAAATTCCAGTAGGAAAGAACAAAGATTTAAAAACGGTGGGATGAAAATAACCAAAGATATATTTTTTAAGTAATATAACAGTATTTCGCCAGAACTAAAGAAAAATATAGATATTTAGAGTGAAAAGGTTCTCCAAGAACTGAGCAGAAATAATGACGAAAGAGCAAACCACAGCAGCACAGCTTGTTAAAATTGCAGAGTTCCAAAAATAAAGAGAAAAACATAAACGAGCTATGAAGAAGTGGAAGTCAGAGAGGCCTCATGGGTACAGCCAGGAACACTGCTGACGGACTGCCTGGGCTTCAATGCTACTCTGAACGCACTGTGGTTCTGTGAGCTTGGAAGTTCCTCACCTGCTCTACGCTTCGTTTACAAAATTGGGGCAATAATATTACTGTCTCCTAGTCATATTTTCAAGCTACTTAAATATATGAATTGATGGATATAAATTGCTTAAAATAGTGCCTGGCACATAGTTAGAACTAATTATTCAATAAAATAAGCAACATTACTGGATGTTTTGATAAAAGCAAACTATGTTTTTAAATTTCTAAGGGTAAAGTATTTTGAACCCAGAATTCTGTATCAAAACAGTCATTCAATTTGCTGAGAAGGAAAAAAGATGTAACTACACTTTTAACAAGTCAGAAGTTTCACCAACCACGTATCTTAAATGATAATTTTAAAAAAGAGATAGTGCAGAAAATTGGGAGAAAAAAACAATCAAAAATGAGGACAATCAAAAACCAGTGAAACTTTGTATGATCCAAAAGAAATAAAGGAAGCTATAAAGAAAAACAAGAGAACTCTCGGTACTTTGAATTTAGAAAAGTCTATTCCAAACAGTAGTCTTAATATTTAATAACACAGAACTACATTGCCTCGCCTAGCAATTCCTAGATTGCTTCTACATTGAGTAATGTGTACATAATCATAATTTTGTTACTGCTCTTTACTGCTTTATTATTTTTGATTCAACACAGAAACAAATCATAAGAATTAATGTCACAAAATACTATAAAATATGATAAACCTTGACAATATAAAAATAGTAATATAAATAATCAAACTGGGAGGTTCAGAAAAGGATGAATAGAAGAAAAAGGAAAATGTTGCTAAATTCCTCATCTCTCACAGTAGGAAGTTCAGAAGTAGCATCTAAAGATAATATATCAAAAATAATGATTTCTGGAATCAAGAAGTTATCCTGCTCTTATAGTAAGTACTGTACTATTTGGTTACCAAACAGATATGGGAGAGTTTCATTTCTAGAAGCAATCTACTTAATAAACAGAAGGCATGATAGAGTTAGAATATTACCATTGTACAACTCCTAATTAACACATGCTAGCACAGCAAAAATAGAGGCAAGTGTCTGGCACCATCATGAAGTACTCTAGTCCCCACCCATCCTCCAAAAAAAATTAAAAACTGAACCTGATCAAAATTCTAGCAGTAATGACTAATTTACAAGATGATTACAGGACAAAGAAACACGTTAAACAACACCACAATTATAGGAGAATCTCTACAGGACACACAGAAAACAAACAAAAAACCTCACATCTTATTAACAAATGGATCACAAGGAGATGAAAGAGATTGAAAGAAACTTAAAAGACACATCATCCAATCACAGTATTGTCAGAGCTATGTTCTAATTCAAAGGAGCTTTAAAAAGAAGAGAGGAGGAAGGAAGAGAGGGAGAAAGAGGGAAGAAGGGAAGTAGAAGAGAGAAAAGGAGAGGGAAGAAGGGAGGAAGGGAGGAGGGAGGAAGGGAAGGGAACGCAGGCCTTGTGCACTGGACCGATGGTGGGACCACCACGCCATGGAAGGCATCCAGCTCCTGAGACCCCAGGGGAGAGTGACTGTGTGGGCAGAGTCTCAACGGTCTCCGCTACCCTGCATATCCCTTCCTCTGGAGTGCGGGGAGGACCCGTGAATGTAATGCCACAGCCCCTCCCGAGACCAGGTTACACTGCATGCCTCCACCACACTAGACAGGGGACAGTCTCCTGCTGGCTTCGAAGGCATAAGCCACCTCTCTGTGACAGGGCCACGTGGCTAGCACCTGAGGATGGAATTCAAGGCTGAGGGCAGCCCCAGCCCACAGCCAGCAGGAACACAGGGGAGCTCCGTCAGGCAGCTGCAAGGCTCTGACTTCTCCCCACCTGAGTGAGCACCACAGCGCGCACCTGGTGTCGGCCTGGTGATGTGCGAGCCCAGGACGCGGTTACCTGCCTGGACTTCTGACCCGTGGGACTTGTACAATGATAAACTCACGTTGTCTCAAGACATTAAGTTTGTGCTAATTTGCTATGCAGCAATAGGAAACAGATGCCTGCCCCTTGACAGTGGATACATTATTTTAACAGCTATGAGAGGAAGGAGTACACTTCTATTGTCTTATTAAGCCACCGAAATGTGAGGATGCGCAGGAATCGCCCCGGGAGGTACTAAGATGCAGATTCTGACTCTACAAGTCTGGGGCAGGGATTCTGCACGGAGCAGGAAGCTGTTGCTGCGGTCCACGCCCAGGTTTGGTGTCCCTCAGGCCCCCGGTGCCCAGCTCCCAGCTCCCGCCCTGTGCAGAGGGGCCTGGGCGCCCCTCTGCGGTCTCAGAGCCCCTGTCCCCGCGGTTGTCCTGTTCCGCGCGGCGCCCCCGCTCCCCCGTCCTCCGTCCCTCCAGAGGTGAAGCAGCCCCGCGACCTCCGCTGCCGGCGCCTCCTTAGGGACACTCACCCCCCCCCACTCCCTTCCCGCCACGACCCGGCCCGGCCCGGCCTGACCTGCTGCGTCCGCGGGGACCGAGCGCCAGGACCGAGGACCCAGACAGTCCCGGCCGCTCCCAGCCTTTTATGCCCGCGGCTCTTCCGTGCGGCAGTTTCGGTTTCCTTTCTCCTCTCCGCGCACTTGGGTTTCGTTTTCCCTGCAGCCCTGACCCGGGAGCCCAGGTAGCATCATCCTTCCTTCCCCTCCGTCAACCCCAAGCCAGGCGGGTCGGGGGCGGTCAAGGGGCGAAAAGCTGCCCTTAGACGGAAAAACAAGGTCCGATGCCCTGGGGCCCGGCAGGGGACCACGGTCCCAGTGATGTACACTTCAAAATAGCCAGAAGAGAGATTTATGAACGTTCTCATCACAAAGAAATGATAAACGTTCAAGGTGATGGATTTGCTAATTACCCTGATTCGCACAACGTGTACCTGTATGGAAACCTCGCATTGTTCCCCAGAAATAGGTATGATTATTATGTGTCAAAAATAAAACTAAAAGAGAAGAACCTTGACACAGAGCAGCAGCAATAATAATCAGCTTTGGCATTTGGGGTAAATATAGAGAAAACTGAGGCAGAGAAATCTCAGACATCTAAACAAAATAAAATCAAGAACAGGTGGATTTTAGGAATAGATAAAATATAGAAATTCCGCAGTGAAATGTGGGGTCTTGCAGCTTCTACTTGTATACAAAAGGAAAAAAAAAGTAAAAATACATGAACTTTGAATTTCTATTATGAGAAACTGATGATTACTGTTTCTCTGTGGACTATATTTATAATTTTCAAAGGCCAAGAAACACCATTAAAAAATACATTAAAAATGCAACACGCTTACTTTTATTTCTGCCTCCACTGGTGCCATTTTTGCTTAATTTTTGCCTGTTGATGCTTGCAATGTAGGTTTCAACACTCACCTCTCTTCTCTTTAGTGTCCCCGTGTGCTTAACGTCATGAATGCTATCAATGTGCAAAGAGGTTGTAATTCTAAGAAAGAGTCGGGGGAGCACAGCGGATTTGGGAGCGACGGTGACCGTGGGCAACCGTGGGCAACCGTGGCCGCTTTGTCTGCGAGGAGAGGGAAGAGCAGAGATTCAGACATGGTTCCACGGGGAAGACAGAACAGACAGAGCAGTGAATGATGTATTTTCTTGTCAAAAACTGAAGATCAAATTGTTTAAAAAAAAGGTGAGGATGGGGAGGGAGGACATTTTTCACATCCCTCGGGCATTTGTTTTATTCATTTGTTTGGAGATGTATGTGTTTATTAACAATGATGCTGAGAAAGAAAATAAAAGAATATGGATGTTGGCAAATCATTCGCCTTAAATCAGCCTATATTCCTACCTGTCCTTCACGAATACCTCTGGAGTACCTGCCTGCCGTAGGCTGAATAACCCCCTTCCTCCTCCCTCCAAAGGCGGCCAAAGTCCTAATTCCCAGCACCTGTGAACGTGTTGACTTTCGTAGCAGAAGGAACTTTGCAGAATAGACCAAATTAGGGATTTTGAGATAAGATTATCCTGATTATCCAGGCAAAACTGAGAAAATCACAAGGGCCCTTATAAGAGAGTCAGAGGAGGCCGTGTTGACGACAGACACCAAGTGACAGAAAGTGGGGACACTACTCTGATGGCTTTGAAGCTGGAGGAAGGGGCCACAGGCTGAGTCGGGTGGTCTCTGGAAGCTGGCAAAGGCAAGGAAACCCATTCTTTTCTAAAGCTTCCAGAAAGCAGCCCTGGTGACACCTTGCCTTTGGCCCACAAAGACTGATTTTGAACTTCTGAGCTTCAGAACTATTAAGGAATAAATTTGTGTTGTTTGAAGCCACTAAGGTTGTGGTGATTTGTTATAGCAGCCATAGAAAACTAATATGCTATCATAAACTAATATAGCAGGAAACTATTGTAATGACATATTTGCTAACAGCAGAAATAATGTCTTGTGTTATAAGAGGTAGCATTAATTCAGGAGGCTACCACGTGGTAAGCAGTATGTTAATATCCTTACATTTATTATTACATTAATTCTCACAACAAGCTCATCAGATGTGTACTATATTTTTGTTGCTTTATAGGTAAGATAAATAAGGCTCAGAGGGATAACATAGCCAGTCAATGGTGCCAAGATTCGAAATTCGGTCTAACCCAAAGGTCTACCTACAATATTCTCTATTACATAATCTCAGGCACATGCCCCAAATTCTACAACTGAAAGGGTTTCTGTTCATGGACAAATGATTTCATTTTGCTTTCTTTGTAGTAAATTATTACATTTTTTAGTATATATGATATTCTGTGGTTTTGACTTTTAATGACTTCAGATTTATCAGGTAAGATAAATTATAATCAATAAACCTTGCTTCATCCTCTTCAATTTTTCACCCAAAGCAGGTAAACAATGCACAGAAGCTCTAGGCTACATTTTGTTTTTCATTTCACAATCTACTGCCATGACCACACCCTGGACTTTGTCCAGAAGCTCGGCAATCACCCCTTCCCTTGCTACTTCTCAGACCTCTGCACTTCGGCCACGTAGGCTTCCTGGATGTTTTGCCCTGTTGGGATGAACTCCGTGAGCCGACACTTCAGCTTTCCTCTGCCTGTGCGAGTGTCTGAGCCCACGGGTTGACACTTTGATCATCTGGATCAATTCAACTTTTTTCTTGTTGTTACCTGGACACTGAGGGGAATGATCTTGTCATCAAACGTGTTGTTCACAAACACAGCGAATATCTTTTTTCTGTTCCACTCAGCCTTTTGCTTACTTCACAACGACAGTTACAACTCGACATCACTAACTATCCCTCTCATGTCTTTGCAGTGATAGGACATCTCCTGTTTCAAGGCGAATTCCTGCTCAGCTTCCTGATAACTCCACATGCCATTATCTGAGACGAGCAGCGGCGTGCCACCTAGCCACAACACACCCAGCCTTCTGTGATCTCGAGTTCGGTCCTGTCCTCGAGCCTCTCAGCCTGTCATTGTTCAGTCTGCTGTATCTTTAACTTCTCCCTGTCGACTAAGACTTGCTGCTCATTCCACTATTAGGCTCTGGTCACCTCCGTTTTAAGACAGTAGGAACGATGATCTCATGCCCTATTTCACCCCTTCTCTTCCCAGCATGGCACCCCGTAGTGGTCTTCATTCATTGTCTACGCTTCTCCATCCCCCAAACTCCTCAGGTACCATCGTCCAAATCTGCCCTGGAACTGCTGTCAGACCTCCAGTGATGACCCACTGATTGACAAGTCCAAATCATGCTGGTTTAACCTGTGTTTCATTTATTTGCAGTATTTGAAAGATTTTTTTAACCAGTCCCTCTTTTCCAAAGAGCCTCTGCTCCCTTGCTTTCAGTTTCATATTCTCCTTCAAATCCACTTGTCTTCCCACCTTCTCCGCAAGGATTAATGGATCATCAAGTAGCAGCTGCTCAAGTTAGAAGCCTCTGAGCCATTGTTGGAGCCTCACCTTCCTCAAATCCCAAGGAACTGGAACCCCTAGCATTTAGGGCACTTCAAATCTCTTCTCTGTCCCATATTCCAAAGGCAGAGCAGTGTCATCATTCCTCGTCTGGGTTACTGAAATGACCTATCCACTTCCTGACTCCAGCTTGTCCCTCCGATTCATTTTCCACCCTGCTGCCAAGGTTATCTTTTAACATGTAAAATAAGCATATTGAGACCCTGTTTAAAAATGCTTCAACACACGCTCAGTATTTCTGGACTAAATCTACCTATCAGTATTTTGTCTCTTTTTAGAACCTTTCAACTCTTTTATTCACCTCCTCTTCTGCCCACTGGGGAGAGAATGGTTCCCACCTTAGGGGTAGGGGATGGCCGAACTCGTGACACCTGACACTGGACAGTTGAGAGTGACAGCAAGTTTATTAGTCACATGTGCTCCCAGCCTAGGGAACGGGAAACCACAGGCCACACAGGGCGAGACAGGGTGAACTCTGGAGAAAAGTGGACCAGCAGGGCTGGGGGATGCTGGCTTTGTAATGACCAGAGTCCCGTGAGAGGATGTGATCGTCGATGGGATGATTTTGCTGCCTGGCAAGAAAGTGAGACACATGAGGTCAGTGCAGCCAGCCCAGCTGACAGAGGAACGGGCTAGGTGGGAATCCTTGAGGGCCAGGTGGGGCGCACACCTGGTGAGAGCCCAGCACTCCGGGTTAGGCCTCTGAAGCTCTGTCAGGCTCAAAGATGGGGAGAAACTACGTGAAATTTTAGGCCTTATAATACACTGCTTTTGCATCAGTTTAAACTTTGGTGATGGCTGAGACTTTTCAGGGCTAGGAAAAGTTTTTTCCTAGGAAGCAAAGCAGGTACTTGACCAGGAGAGAGAGGCAGGAACAAACAGTGAGGAGGAAATAAACACAGGAGCAGTAGGGGTGCTCCCCTTACGGCCAGTAAAGACACTTGAGGGGCTCTCGTGGCACTGGGGAAGGGAGGGCAAGTCCCCAAGGGTGGTGGGTTTACACTGATCGATGCCTGTGCCAATGGTGAAACCCACCAGAGCATCCACTTGCCACTTTGTGATTTTAGTGAGAGCTCTCTGATTTGGCCACGGGCCTCTTAAACTAAACTGTCAGGGCGCGTAGGCAGGTGGAAGTTCCGTTGCTTTCTTCAGGAGCCCAACATTACATATTCTGAGACGTGAAGTGTGCCCTCCTCACCATCAGTAAGGTCTGGGGCTGCAAAGAGGGTAAGGACTGTCCTGGCGAGGGTTTGTGTTGTGGCCCAAGTATACGTAGAGGTATCTGTCACCCTAATTTACACTTGGGATAACTAGGAGGCCAGAGACTGTTAGAGTTCTTTACCCCAAAGGGAGGGACTCACAGGCCATCGCCCAAGAATATGTAAGAAATGGATAGAGGGGCCAGTTATTGGCCAGGGCATCCAACATCAAGATAACTTTCAAAGTTTGGCCAGTCGTGCTGACCCTTGGGTCCCCTCCTTTATCAGGGACACCTTGGTATTCCACGGAGCTCCAGCGCATACGATGTGGTAATTCCATTCATAAAATCTACAAACTCCTGCTTCTGCTCACTCAGTTGATCCACAG